GGGGAAAAATGCACTGCATTATTCACATATCACCACAAACGTTAGTAGAATCTTTTTTTTTTTAATAATATATCTAATTTTCCACCTTAATCCAACTTTATGTAACAACAGGAATTCACATATTATATATTTTGTTTCTATTTATGTACAGTCTTAAATCTACAGAGTAGTCAGGAAACGTTTTAAAGTATAAAATCTCGAACACTAATTAGCTTTACTGTGTGTTCAGAAACCTTCACTTTATATATCATTTCAAACATCTTTTTACACAGCTTCTCCTATCAATCTTCTTTTAATAGTCATCTTCACCACTACCATCACCCTCAAAAGCATTATCATCCTCCTCCTCCTTTTCATTATCATCATCATTATCACTATCATCATCATCATCAGCAGCACTATCATCATCATCATCATTATCACTATCATCATCATCATCATCATCACTATCATCATCATCATTATCACTATCATCTATAGCACGCAATACAATTTGTGACACGTTTGCTTTGATTGTTTCAATAGCATCTACTGTAAATTGACCTTTACTTATTAATAGTTTTAACCATGCAGCGACCATCTCTCTTTTTTAAGCTGTAAGGCCTATCACACTACAATGATTAGAGGTTATCGCATCACCATAAGATGACGAGTGACTGATTCCGGAGAATACTCTCTCACAATGTTCCCCATGTAGCTATCCACATTACTGATTTTAATTGAGGGGTGGGTCACTAGGTTTTTATGTGCCACTCCAGGGGTGGGCCGCTCCAATTTTGTCAAATAACTCGGGGGTGGGCCACTGAAAACCAGTACTTTAAAAAAAAACTTTCCTAGCCCACCTCCCCCCCTCCCTTTTACTCTATGACCGGTCCCTAACTGCGTTCATCTGTTTGTTGATAAGAGGTCTTTTCATTCTGAGAGAGGAAGGATGGACGACGCATTCGTCAGAACGGTTGGGCTTCCTTGTGGGAAACCGAAAGCAGATTTAATATACAACTTTTTATTGAATTATTCTGTTATGTTTTAATTCGATTCGGAAACGTAATTTTCTTACTGGAACTCTGCCGTCGAAAGCAGTAACTCTGTCGGCCATCTTGGGAACGCAAAGGTCAACAAGACACCCACGGAACATAAGCTATTCAAATGGAGAACTTAAAGTTGCCTGTCATTTCTAAAGTAGCTGATTATAACTGAGGCTAGGCTCAAGCATACAGATATGATAGAAATGCAAGCCAGAGCCAGCCAGAGCCAGCCAGAGCCAGCCAGTTTGAGAAAATTTGTATTAAAACAGAACTGCGTCGGTTTCTTTGTTTTTTTCGCTGCACTACTTATCCCACTGTTTATTTCTTCTTGTCTTTAGCAGCCGCAATCAAAGAAACGAGATCATTAGAATGTTACAAATGTAATGCGACCTTGTTAGCAACCAAGTGCTTGAGAAATTCCCGAGTTGAAAGCTGCTCTCGAGAGGGCGAGTCAGTTTGTATGAGTGTTGATGCCTCAGTGACAGATTTGAAGGGAGATAAGTCAATTCTGTTCTTAAGGTATGATACCGTACTAGAATCGGCTACTCTAAATCTTTACTGGATTTGCCACCCTAGTTCCACTTCAAGTAGCAGTTTAGAGACTGACAAGATAACCTTTCCAGATTTCCATATCTCAACCACAATACCTAATACTTTTCGCGCCAAAACTCTGGAGTGAACATTCGGGTTCNCCAGCACTTTCTTTGGCAGTCGATCGATCTTGGAGTTCAAGAGGCAAGACCTCGTATAAGAGGAAAACAATTCAATCGCTAAACAGATTTTTTTTTTTATCCCACAGTGCAAATCTTTTGAAAGTTATCGGCTGCGAGAAATTAATTCCTGTTTAAAACAAAATAGTAATCGATCGATCCTGGAGTTAAAGAAGCAAGACCTCTTATCAGAGGGAAACAATTCAATTACTAAACAGATTTTCTATATCCTACAGTGTAAATCTTTTGGCAGTTATCAGCCGCGAGAAATTAATTCCTGATTAAAACAAAAAAGCTCAAAAGCCAATTTTGAGAACAGTATGTGATAGATGAGGGCTTTGCAGGTTGTTAAATGTAATATAGTTTACCCACGGGAAAACAGACTGCGGTATTTAGATACATTTCTTACTGAGGCTTCCTAAAACCAACTCAGTTCTCAGCCGTGGATGACTTAAAAAATGAAATTTGTGTTCATTTTATTCTTGTTTTTCCTTAACAATCGTTCAGGTAAGTCATTTTGATATGAGGACATCTTTGCTATCAAAATTTTAATTTACTGTTCGTGTTGGTCTTTCGTTGGCAATCGAGCCGCCACCTAAAAACCTTTTCTTTCGTCTATTGCTTAGGTCTTAGTATAGCAGACATACTGAAAAAGTACGTCGCTATTTGCAGCTTTTTAAATATCAGAAATGAACTCAGAAACATCAAATGAAAACTGACATTTCGTAGGCTCTTTGTGTATTAATCAGTCACAATTATCTTCGCCGCGCCTCTTGCAATGAAAAGTTAGTTGGAAATTTTCCACAAATCACAATACTTGTCAAATAAGAGCGTGTTCATAGCTTATATCAGGGGCAACCTTGCTCGTAACTCCATAAAAATATTGTCGTAGTTCGCGCATAGCAGTAGATCATCGAAACGTCAAGTGAAGAGCTTATACCTTTTAGAGAGGAAACTTAAAATGAATTACAGAGAAAACGATCATTCCCAAAAAAAAAGCATTAAAACTTAAATCATCGTAAGAAATGAAGGTGATTGAATATTGTTATTTTCTCTTTCAGCTTCAGCTCTTTCCTGCCACAAGTGCCCCACAGATAGCAAACTTAGCGACTGCGTGAAAAATCACGTGCCTGAGCAGTGTGCAACTGATGTGGGATTTGACCAGTGCTTTACCATGAAGTTATTTGTGAAGCAGAGTAGCGGGGAAGAAAGCTCCTATTTAGATAAGAAATGCGGTATTTCCTTTGCATGCAATCAACCCGACCCGAACTATTTTTGTAATGCAAAGAATCTATCTTTAATCAGTCAAGGACATGTCATGGTCAACTGCTCTTCAAGGTGCTGCACTTCTGACATGTGCAACAACGATGACTTACCCAGCGACCCCACCACTTTACCCCCTGTTAAAAATTCCACGTCAATAAACGAAACTATATCCAGTCCCTCGCTTCAAAACTCTACTGTCTCTACCCCGCCGGGCTGTGGCACAGACTCCGTTAACACACCACTGCGCATGACCATTGTCCTTGCTGCAGTGATTCAACTGGTATTCGAGATGATGTAGAAGTGAGAGTACATTCCAATGTGTCAGTAACTTGTTATCCAACACCAACAAAACTGTCCTATGTAGTAGTTAAAAGTCACCCTATGCGAGTTTGTTTGTTGTACAGAGCGTTTGTGTGTCATGTAAGAGCTAGCTATCCCATAACTCTGTTCAATCGCATTTTGTCCCCTTGCAGGTTTTTTTTTAGGTCTTATTTTCATTTTTTTTGTGTGTGTGTGTGTGACAGCCTTATCATTGATGCCGGGGGCTGCAACGTAGGGAATTTTACGCCGAATTAGTATTACCACTATTTATTTAGACACATTTATCAATTAAAATTTGAATAAACCGGAGACTCAAAATCAGTAAGTCTTTTTAAAAAGTAAGCCAGCCATTGATCATTGCCAATGAAAACAAAAGTTCTTTTCTTCGAAATTATGTTGTAAGAATATAGATTAAAGAAATTAAAAGAAAAATTCCATCTAAAAGTTCTCGTAACATTTCTACCAAGTTGTTAAAATTTTAAGGTCACCAGCTTGTTCATTGGTTTACATGCATTTAGCGTCAGGAAACCTGTACTTTATGATGTAGATGATGTAGTATTAAATTACCTAGTCTTCAGCTTTCAGTTTTCATCATGACCTTCGCTCTGCGCTAGTATATTTTTCATTGTATTTTTCCTTCCACCTCCATTTTAAACCGTCACTATCATCCGGCAAACAAAAGAAAAAATTCTTAAGATAACGTCCTTCTATTTTATTACTTAAAAAAAGAATACAGCAGTAAGAAAAATCACAGAAGTTATGGAAATTGTGTTTGTTCATTAGTGGGGCCGACCACTCGCTGTGGGTGTAACTCTTTCGTTTTATTCAAACCGGGTGAATCGCATTACGAGTCAGTGTGGCATGATCAACTGTCAGTGTCTCCCTTTCCAAAACATGATTATCAAGTTGATTTTTATTGCTGTCACCTTTACCGTCACTGGGTATTCAGGTAAGGTAAAGTCTACTGTCTTTTGCGATGTCGATATCTCGATCGTTTATATCTTATTCAAGAAACTGGAAAGCAGGAGAAGATCAACGTGTTTTCATATTGAGAACCAAGAGATTATAAACTGTTGAGATCTTAACGTTAGATTGAACTTATCTTTCATCTCTGAAACCAAATTTCAAAAGTTGTATCTTAACTCAAGCGCCCTAAACACTCAGGGCGGGCTATTTAAGCCGTTTTTTAATGTTAGGTGAAGGTTAGAGTTGTCTTTATGCACGTCGGTTTCTCCATCCATGAAACCTACCAAATTTTGTTTGCTCGCTCGTTTTTTCGTCCGCAGCACAGGCTAGGGCATGCACAACAAACAAAATTAGCCCTTTGGCAAAGACCTCCTTGGTACTGATGAACTTCAAGATAACTCGAAACAACCACTATTAGATTATGAAATTGAAAAAAACTCTACACCTCGCGATGACGAATAAATGCCATAAACGTTGGCATCAAAAGCTGACAGTGCAACACATCAACCACTCTAAAAGATTCGAAGATACCTTACTCCCTTTCTTGACTTCATCCAAGCTTTCATTATATCATCATTCAAAAATTCAACCATCTTGTCTTCAAACTGACAAGCTGGACGAAAGTCGATAAATTTCTTTTGTTGCTCCTTCTCCTTGTCGAAATCCAAGCTCACTTCTCTCCCTTCCCAAAACATTAAAATCCCTATCCAAATCGGAATTTTTCCCTCGATACATGTACTTTCACAGCGCCTTGCTTTTGATATGTGCATTTTCATTTGCATGACGTACATTAGACTTAATGACATACCGCAATACAGTTTGTCAACAGGCTCACTTATGATTCACTTCAATATTTCGCAGTCTTTGTCCTGAAAGTTTGGCCGAAGATGTTGTGGATAGCCCTTGGAGCACTCTTTGTTTTGTATTCATCTCCATTTGGTGAGTGTATAATTCTGATTTATAGTTTTTGTGTCTGTAATGTTACGAAATATAATTTGTTCAGCGTGATCTCAGGATTTACAATGACTGTGTAATGTATTGTTAGACATCCAATTTTAATCGAGATTTCTGAGAGAAATTCCATGACGGATTTCATGCCAGATTGATAAATACTTCACAACGCTTGACTAAACTTCGATAGCAAGGTTTAATCGATGTGATTTCGTGCCCAGTTTGAATTATTTGTTGGTATTGCCGGGTGGTAATGTTTACCTTGAACTCTTTGTCATAGCCTATTTTTCCACTGGTTTATATTGAAAACATCTTTGAACTAAAAACAGCGTGACCGTAAAGGGATGGATCTTTCAGCATCAGTTTTTGGTTAAGTTTTCGCCATTTCTCAAGAAAAATTAGCGTTGAATTTTATTCACGAGGAGATATTGTCACGCCTTCGTCACTATGAATTTTAAAATAAGGAAATATTCAGTACCACAATATCGCTTTATGTAATATCACACCACATTGAAAAATTGCCTGAAAGAAAAAATGGGATTATGTATACCTAGAAGTGTTAGCCTTTTTTTATTGGAATCTTTACCAAGACTTTTACCCTTTTTCGCCTGGAGGAGATAAAAAATCAGTTCGCAATAAAACTTCTTTGAACACAACACATTAACTACAATTTACATTTTTATTCGTTTAGTTCAAATCCAATGTAAACAGTGTATAAATTAACAGCATTTTTATATTGTTGGGTATAGGAATCGAGAGAAAATTTTTTAAATACTTAGCTACTCGGCAATGTTTTTAACTTTTCTGTGTAAGATGAACCGTGATCTTCTATAAAATTTAGCGAACAAAATGTTCGGCCGTGTTTGTTAGAGGCACATTCTAGCAAGTGCAATTCATGGTGGTCGTGAGCCTGACGAACAAGCGGGACAATTGATGAAAAACAAGGAAAGACAAAGCGGAAACCGTAAGACGTAGAGAAAGTCCTTAAAAAACCGAAAATGTTTGCGTTTTGTTGAAAAGACTTCCGGGAATTTCTCCATCAAATTAATATAGTGGGTAATTTTCTTTGGAAACTGAAGGACTGTGTCGGTAAGGGGATATAACAAGAAAATTTGGTTTTATCAACCGTGGTGATCTATAAATGTAAATTCGCTACCTTAACCGGAGTTTCGAAAGCTAACGTTTCGAGCGTTAGCCCTTCCTCGTAATAGCTCAGTTGGTGTAACCAAATTATCTTTATTTCTATCAGCCATGTCTACAGAGTGCTTTAAATGTACTTCTCTGATATCCATGGATGATTGTGTTCAATTTATGAAGAAGACCGAGTGTCCAAAGACGACTGATCGCTGTCGTAACATGACTGTTCAAGTATACGTCAAAATGCTCGGAGAAAATCAAACAGGTTTTCAGAGGGGCTGCGCATCTCAAGATGAGTGTGTGTTCAAGCGTTGTTCGGGCCACTTTGCGGAACACTACGGCGAGGAATCACTCGCTTACAACGTTTGCCAGATGAGCTGTTGTGAGGGGGATTTCTGTCCGGAGGGAAACAGAACAATCACTGACGGAAATGAGGGTCCGGTGAAAGGAGCGCGAGGCGGTAAAGGTTTTGCAAATCTTGCGAGTGTTTCTGTCACGGTAACAAGTGCTCTGCTGAGTCTTTTCAGGGTCTGCTTCTTATCAAGATTTAGTTTTCAGTGTAAAGTAGAATGTAGAATGTAAGGCAAAGTTTCATCAGCGCCCTATCAAACTTTGAAAAATATGCTTTGATGTGACTAACGCGGCAATGTTTTTGGATTTTTTTAAAATTTTTGTTCGATTAATTTTTCAATTAACCGACTTATAACCAAAAAAGAAAGGTATCTGTACCTTGAAAATAAAAACCCCATAACTAGTTTCTCAGAATAGAAAAGGACTGCGCGCGCTCTTTGTACGTTTTATTTCGTGTAGAGTTTGATGTTAGGATTGGAAGATGATGACATTGAACAGTAGTAATTACTACGGGCCGGTTATTTAACCAAAGTTTAGCCATTGTTTAACAAAACCGCATTCTAAACTGTCTTCGATTTAGCCGAATATTTTATATGAACAATCATTTTTGATACAGTGTCAAGAAGACTGAAAACTAACAGTGGAAGGACATTTACTCAGTCAAATCAACGTACCCTATTTTAGAGAATACCTGAGGCCCTCCGCTTTCGTAAAACCGTGGTTTGGGCCAGACTTCGTGTAAAGAACCGGCCCTACATGTTATCTTTAAATTATCGTGTCTCACTGATACTGTTTTGTCAAGCATTTTGAAAGATAAGGTCTTCTTTGTTCACCTCTGTTCACCGGGGGAAGTTAATTCTCGAGACGAACAAAAATCTCACGCCTTGTCGAAACTAGCTACTCCATTTGGACTTGTAACCCACTGAATCTTTCAGCGTGGAAGAGGAAAATGGATTTGTCGATTGCATTCGAAAAAGAAGCGGTTGTTTTCCGTAGAGGAAAAATGAAATAAGCTGAAATACTGAAAGGCTTGATCCTCAGTAAACGTAATTGTGGTTTTGCTCACCGAAGCAGCTGGTAAGCTCTGATGTAATGCTATTTGTTGCTAGCTACTTGCCCCATCACTCAGTACTTTGGTTTTTGAGGTCGATGAGGAAAACGTAACATCCCTGTCTGCATGTAGACTACTACTATTTGAATATTTTGATAAATACAACACGTTTGTAATTTTTCATTTAATTAATAAATAAATATTTGCAATGGTAAACACACCCGGCATATAGATGACCCAATCGTTGGCTGGTATACTGATGTCTCTATTTTTAAGTTTCTGACACAAAAAAGTGCAAGTTATCAGACTGTGCAGACTTTTTCTTGGATTCTCAGGGTGCTGGGAGAGGGGAACGGGGGATATTCGTAAAGGGGAGGGGAAGGGCACTGACTGACCCACAGGTTTGAGCTCACGTGTACAGCCCAAGGGTTAATATATGATTTGAACGGTATTTGTTCCGCCGTTGAACAGAGGACCGAAACCAAAAACAATGGCTTTCATTTTCTTTTAATATTAAGCGGCTACAAATGTTCTCCTCAAAACGTTTCATGAAAAAAAGAGACACAGTTGCAGCTTGTGTTGTTCAAATCTAGCTTAGATGTCAGAATGCATCATATTTGTTCAAAGTTATCGACTGCGTGAATAATGATCGTTTGACCCACGCTCAGATCACTTGTGATGAAAAAGAGAAAAATAAATAAATAAATAAATAAATAAATAAATAAAAAACTAAGGGATACGCAGTCGAAAAACTACAGTCTACATCAGAAGCGACTAGATAGTGAGCCAAAGGATGGTTCTTTTTATTCTACCTCGGTCGCTTGGCCAAACTCTTTTGAAAATATTCTCATATCATGATACACATGTCAGGATTGAAACAATGAACGTTTTTTCCAAAACAAGATACATTCTGATCAAAACATCTGCAAGCCATACTCGAGTGATGTGGTAGTTTGGAAAATATAAAATGCTGGAATTTGGAACCGGAACCGGAATCGGAATACTCAGAATATCCGGAATTCCCGGAATGACCGAAAAATAGTAAATTTTAAAAAAATTGATAAATAAATAAATAAATAAATAGATAAGAATATTGATGATTAAAAATTAATGGTAAACTCATAACTTAATTAAATGATTTAATACCAAATTTTTCTCTGAGCCCCCCCCCCCCCCAAAAAAAAAACACTAACCGGCACTCTTCAAGGAGATGCATGGTTATTAATTATTTAAGGTAGAGTATTAACTTTTAATAGTTCAGAGCTTTTTACAATTGAACTATTAAACTACTTGGAAATGTTGCATTTGTTTATTCTTCTGTAATGGTTCCGGTTGGAAAAGCGTGGCGGCCTAATGGTCATGGCGCCCTAGACATCCTACAGGTGTGTAAATGGATGGAGGCGAATTTAAAACGGGGAGTAACCATGTGATGGACTAGCATCCCATCCAGGGGGAAGGGAGAGGAGAAATATTTCGTCGCTTAGGCTGTATGGGCTACTGGCCTGACGTAGACTTTTTAAAATTCTAATACGTGCATCTCCATGAACACTGCCAGTAAGTGTTTTTTTTTTTGGGACCTTCAGAGAAAAATTTCGTATTATATTATTTTAATTAAGTTGTGAATTCACCATTTATTTTTAATCATCAATATACTTATTTATTTATAAAGGCTGATAGTTTCGAAAGAAACTGTTTGGGGCTGCGTCGGTGGGAGTAACGAAATAATTTGGATATATCAACAAAGTTGAAATGGTAAATTGGCCACCGTAATGATTACAAAACTTACGAACTCGAAGTCCACAATATTGTGGGCATGTTTGCACTCACCAACGACAAGAAATGTTTGATATCACATTCCACTAAATCTTGTGATTTCCTGTTTGAATATTCTCAGGTATGCATTCCAAAGGGAATACTTATTTATTTATTTATTAATTTACTCTTATTTATAATTTATTATTTTTCGGTCATTCCGGGAATTCCGGGTATTCCGGTTCCGAATTCCGGCATTCTATATTTTCCAAACTACCCGAGTGATATCACAGCTTTTGCTCACTCATACAATTACAAACATCTTTCTTAGATTAATAAGTTTAAAAATTCGTTTCCATCACGTTATTTAAGTCTTTACAGCGGCAGAATTTGAAAATGCGTTACAAAGTGAGGAATGATTTTATCTGTTTGTTACTTTGGGTTGACTTATCGGTTTTTGAAGAATTTGAAATTCTCTGCCGCCAATGAGCTGATGTTTTTCGACTTTCTTTTTCCGAAAGGAAGCTACAACACTAGTTTTATTCTGATCATTTTCAAGTTTAGGACAATAAACAGGCATTCGAAGTTGACGAAAAATATAGGTCACTTTTGCCTGATGTAAATAAAAGAAAACTTACGAACTCGAAGTCCACAATATTGTGGGCATGTTTGCACTCACCAACGACAAGAAATGTTTGATATCACATTCCACTAAATCTTGTGATTTCCTGTTTGAATATTCTCAGGTATGCATTCCAAAGGGAACGTGGCGAAGACCTATCCGCACTACCAAAAATTTTGATTATTTGTACAGATTTTCCCTCATCACTTAAACTTTACCACTCTAAGCAGGGCTTATTTCGTGTATGAAAAAAAAAAAAAAAGTGTGCATCAAACAAAAATGGACAAACGGCTGTGTTGTAAGTAAGCCAGTGAGGTAAACATTTGACTCACAGTGAGGTCAGAGGTCTTTGGTAACACTCCAATTGGCGTCGCGTATTTATAAAGCAAGGAATGGTTTGTTAATGGTTCTAAAAAGATACTGTCTTTTGAAAAGTAGTTGTGTACAAGCATGTTAAAAAAGAATGTGCCAAGTCAGATCCTGACCCTCTTATATATACAATACGGTAGAAAGTTGCAGAGGGTGTGACTCAGTCACCCACTCTGATACTAAGATTACGATAAGGCGAAGAATACATAAACATGATATTTATCGGGTTATCGATAACGTCAAGAAAACTATCAACAGAAGAGTAACTATGAGGCCTAATTGCAGCATCAAACCCAGTATATTTGAGCAGCACATCCCCGAGCTGCCCACGTTTGGATTGGTTGTAGTGAAGCCGGAATCACCTTACATTTAGAGTCTTTCTGATGATAGTCAGGCCTTCAATATACATCATTAACTACTACTTCTGTTCATGAAAAGGTCCTCTTTCTCGAGAGAGGATCGGAATCAAAGAAATTCAACAGTCAGGTCTCACAGAGAGAGTGTCAGCTTTAGTCTTGAAATATAACTACCAGTGGTGAAAACGTGATGCGATCAGCCCCTTAACGCTTACACTCGGCATGCAAATTACCGTGTGTTAAGACCTTTAGACCTTAACCCAGGCAGCAAAAAGCAAGAACCACGCCTTGTATCCACACGGACTCCGAGATTCTGTTTACGCCGCCACTTCTCTTTCCACTCTGGACCCCAAGAGCATCCACGTTACCCTTCATAGCCTCTCGCTGCTCATATCTATCAATTTCAACTGGAGTCGGCGTCGGGAATGAACAGGATTTGTCTTTAGCCGTGCAGCATTTTACTTTACACTTATCAGTAGAGAGATCCTTTGGCCAGAAATTCGGACATTCGCTCCTCGCACACATTGCCAGTGTTCCACAGTGTAAACCATGCACAGCGGACTCAACCATTTTAAGTTGGTTGCCCATCATCTGTGGAATCTTGTAAAAAGCGGTGTACTCGAGACAGGCCGGTAATAGAGAAGAGTTTGTGGTGCACTTTCTTACGAACAATTCACCAGTCTCTCTGCCTTTACATTTCGTGCGACCATCTTCATCATATCCATGGCAACTGAAGCAGTAAAGGCCAGAAGGATCCGCAGCGAACACTGAAAAACAATGTCACAGATGATCTCAACTCATTTTATTACACGCGCTGTTTCCCTTGATCAAAATCTGCTTTCTTTTGTTTCATTGGCAGACAGTGGGTTAGTGCTAATCAGCCTTCGAACACCTGGACCCTTCCTCAGTGCAAAAAAATTACTATGACCTCATCAGTAAAGTTCTTTGATGAAGCTAAACGAACTTGAGTTCATCTTTGATTAGTATACACTAAAACAGTGGATCGATCATGGGCTACTCAAACCTCGAATACCCTTTGCTATTCCGGCCTTCGAGTGACGCCGGGAGAAGGGTTATTGATTGCAGTTAAGACTACAGATAGAAAAAGCAGCATGTTAGTGAAACTTTCTGTCAGACTTTAAGCCACACCATGTGCGTAAAGCAGTGTTTTTTATCAAATTCAAAGTCTGAATAATGATGACGAAGTTCAGCTGACATTTTCCACCTGTCCATTTCACTATCCTTAAAGTACTCATTGCTAAAACAGCTGAAAGTTAAGGTGGTGATATGCAAGAACACAGAAAACATTCAGTCTTTTTTTAAAGAATGAGAAATCACACAAAGATCATCTTTGGTAGTTCAAGGGTGGATTATCAATAAAATCAATTTCCGATTTATAGAAAGCGAGCATTTATTTCTCTAGTTTTCAGAATGGCCTTTCGACCCAGTTACAAGTAAATCACAAATGGTTAGAAAAGGCTGCTTTGGAAAAGGTTTATTACACAGAAGCATTCTAAGAACGACCGTAGTTTAAGTTTTGAAGATTATTTTACTTGACTATACTCAGACAGTACCGCCTCATTAATGTGGTCGGTCAGTCAAAACAATTTTGGTGAATTTTGATTAATTTTTTTTTTTCTTTATCAAAAGAGAATTAAACGAAGTCTTGCGCTCTAAGTTAATTCCACTGACTCAAAATAATTTGTAATCCTTCATGTTAACTCGCTGATGTTTTCGGAAAATCGCTTTACGCAATCTGTATGTCAAAATATAATACACTTGAAAGGTGTAAGCCTTAAAAGAAAAGCTTTGTTTCATAAATGGCGAGGACACAAAGAAGTAATTGTTCAATGTGAAAAAAATTTCCATACGCATACTGTAAGAGATGTCATTGGGGTTTTCAACTGTCTGTCAGTCGGTTTGAAATGTCATAGAAAATTAAGTTGGAAACCCTGTCTGTTCTGAAAATACGTCGTTTGTTATCCAACCTTTGCCAGGAACTCATTTGATAAAATCGATCAGCGCTTATTAAAACCGTTATCAGTTATAATAAGCTAAGTAGAAAGTTGATGTTTGATAAAAGAAAGTGATGTGCTCTACAACGCTATTGCCTTTCTCAACTTATGACGACGAGTGTTAAAAATGATGTTTCTCGATCACAAACGGATTAATTGTAACAATAAAGGTTACGTTTGGTCAAATTGTCATCTTTCCCTGCTGAAAGGTGTTGATAGATCAACAGCTGTCTTGTTTATCAGTTTTAGAATTTTGTTGTGAACTGCTTCGAAAAGAAGTCGTGCAGCGAACAGTTGCGGAAAATGCAAATAAGCAAGAGCTCGCTTTACACGTTTAAACCACCGCGTTCTTTCAAAGACTTCGAGCATTTCTTTCTCGATTTATGCGTGAAAAACCACTAAATTATATATAGAGTGTCACAGAACTTGGCGCCAATGTAGGTTGAAGCACAGCGCTCTCAAATATGATTAAAATGTAGAGAACTAAAAGCAAAAGATATAATTCCCTCCAACTAATTTTAAAAATTGCCATTCTTTCGCCTTTAGCGATTGTGCCTAAATGAATAAAAGTCGAAGAATCTACCGGTAAAATTTGCAACTTGTCCGGCTTTAACTCCCGAAGGCCACCTTCTCGTTAAACACCTCTTTCGTACCCGCAAAAACGATGGCTGACTTCGGAATTAGGTCATAACCGCATGCAAGCAAACAGGAAAACAAGATATAACTGAAATACAGATATATCACTAAAAACCTACTCCTCTTGATATAACAAGAAACTGATCTCTTTAGTGAAGCTTAGCAAGAATTCCACATTAATTCGATCTGTACTAGAAAGTTCGGTTCAATGCGGCGGTGCGAGGTTTCAAGCGCTAGCAGTTTCGCTTAAGCTATGACAACAAGATGTTACTAAATACTGTATCGTAGTCATTGATATGATTAAATAACATCTTTGTGTGTATTCCACAGAGAAATAATCATGACCTGTACTTTAACAGCAGCTTGAGGCCGCTTGTTTCGTTGCTGAAATTTAACCGCAGCCGTCTGTATCTTTTGTCGAATCACGAGAAAACCACTCAAGTCTCGATTACAAAATGCAAAACATTTGTCTTTGCTCCCTTACCTTCGCTTGAAATGTAAACTACTGTCCAAACGGTTGCAAAAAGTACAGTCGTTTTGCACGATCCCATTTTGTAGTGTACAAATTCAATCCTTTCGATCTCTGAAATATTTGACAAGTTCGGTTGAACGGTGTCAAATCCGTTGAACCCGTAAATACATTTGTTTGTAACCCAAGTGACGTCACTCCTTTGTTTTCTGAAGTTTCTCGATTCGTCCCCCGGGATCCCACCGAGTTTAGTCTGATGAAACTGCCAAAAATACACATCTCACGAATACTCTTCATTTGCCAACACTGGACATTTGTTAAAGTTCATTCTGAGATGTGTATTTTAAAACTAAGCTTGATGAATGACACGTATCTAGAGCTTTGAAAATTTTGGGGTTAAGGTTCGGCTTGAAATAAATGAGGCGTAAAAACTTTCCCACGACCAGCGGTTATCGTTAACAATTACGTTCGAGTCGACATTTAGATAACTTTTGGCTGATTCTCGAACATTTTGGATAACTGTCAATTCTGAAGCCTTGCTTTGTATGGTATCTATCGTATAGTGGAAAAGCAACCTTTTGCAATAACCTCTTTGGCTTAATTAAGAGTCGCTTACAAGGATGGACTCAGTTTTGAGCGATGTTATAAAATCTGTGACCAAATTCTTTGAACTTCCACCGCCTTTTTCATTCGTGTTAAGAAAAGGTTGGCGAGCTGTTTGATTTGCAGAATGTTCAAATTCATCCAAGTTCGACTGCCATTGTTGATGGTACGAGCTGATGATACGAGCTGATGATACTTGCACGATTCAACGCCTCCTTGCATCAACAGAAAAGTCTGAACGTGCCATAAGGCTGTTCAGTCTATAGTTTTTGTAAAGACTATGGGCTCAGTTGATAAAAACATTTGCAACAGCATGCTGTGAGCGGCTGCGAGTCGCACAATAGTAAGCTTAAGGGGCACATTGCGAAATTTAAAATTCGTAAAGGCGGTTCATCGCCATTGATAATTGAAGATGAAAAACATGTGCTTTTTTGTTGTCCTTTGTATGATAGTTTTCGATTATAACTTAACAAAAAAATCGCAAGAAAGTATCCTTGCTTTTAAAACTTTGATCATAACTCTAAAGTGTTATTCCTTTTTGATAACGCTGATCCGTCTAGATGTAGACTCATTTCTGCTTTTGCATTCCAAATAATGAATATCAGACAAGAAGTTCTGTTAAGGACGAAATTATGTTAAATAATTATTGTTACTTATTCTTACTTACGGTAATGTCATGTACTACTTATAGAAGTACCTAATAAAGTTGTTGTTGTTGTTGATAATCGCGTCTCGAAAAAGGCCGGTAAACTCTTTGATTAATTAGCTTGAAAAGTGGTGGCCTGTCTAACATATTTCACTTATGCGAAGGTTTTGTGGCAAAACTCTTAGGTGTTGTTCCATCACACAAGGTAAGTTTATATCGCACGCAGCCATGTCCGATAATTAAACCGATCACAAAGTTTTTAATTATTGGCTACTAGTCGGCGTATTCTATTGTAAGCGATGTTATGAAATTTCCAAATTCTTCCCGGCGCGGCGCTACTGTTGTTGACGTTCAAGGAGAAAAGAAAAATTCGCGAGCTCTGATATGCGAAACCTTTAGATTTGTCATTAAAGTGTTGAAGGACAAAAGTTTTACAAGTTTCTCCTTCTGAATTGAAAAAGCACAAATTCAGAAGGAGAAACTTGTAAAATTTTTGTCCTCCAACACTTTAATGATCGGAGTCGTAGAATTTAATTGTCAAGGAGAGCTTCCTTGATACTAGAGCGGCAAAGGTACATACGATCCGAAAAATTTGTAGGGTTTCCAGCCATGTTTCGAGACGATATGCGAATCGAGTTATCACTTGGTCGCACGGAAATCTTTGTTTCTATTCCCTTGAACTACCCGGTGGATATTGTCATTTCCTTATCAGTTCTAGTTCGTGTTAGCAATACCTTTGATCTCAGTCATCGTAGTTTTGATTTTTGCTTACCAAACAACAGGGATGCCTTTTTTTTCGTTACATCTCTAGCTGGATATGTTTAAGGTTTTAAGCAGGGTATTTAGGGCAGCACTTCCGACCCTGGTGGTTTTTTTACCTCTGCAAGTACAATTTTGATGATTTCCAGCTCGCGGGCGTCCTCAAGAGATCCGTAATTGTTTCATTTGTCGTAGACGCAGGAAGAAAGGTCGTATTGACGGGAAAGCTGGAAAGCAGAGCTTTCCTTTTTCGCAAACTGGGCGCAATTTCGCTTGAAATGACTGGCAATAAAAAGTTGAAAATCTCAGCTGTCAAAATGACAGCTTCGATTCAGCAATAACTGGCAAAGGAACTTATTTACCTTTTATTCAAGTGGTTGAAGAAATAACTTAAGTGTCTTGCGGGTGGTTCACTTTCGAGGCCATCATTATAAAATTAATTATCAGCGAATGTCAGAGTTCACAGCCCGACTGTAAAATAATCAGTTTTATAGCAACTTTTGTGGAATCTTACGGAGAGTACTGCGAAAAAAAGTTATCATTGCTGCTTGTTTTTTGCAACTCAACTATTTACACTTTAATTAGTTTTTAAGATTAATGACACATTTCAAGATCTTTTGTCTCAGTGAATGCCACCCTGGCGCAATGTTTTCAATTATCTGACCCAATCTAACAATGATGCAAATTAGCCCTATCGTGGCTTTACCGTGTAGTGGAGTGGCTCTCACCACTTATCTGTTTGTTATCCAAGTTATCTAACTAACTTTAACTCTAACTTTTAAAGAGTTTTCATAAATGCATCAAAGAAAAAACACCCAGAATTATCACTGATTGTGTGGTTAAATTTAAATTTTAAAACGGAGGTCAGGCTTGACACTTACGGCAAAATGGAGACGAAAAATGTGTCTCGTTTGAGTACTAAGAAGCGAAAAAATTTTCATTCACAGTGTTTAGGAATTTAATGCTACATTGCTACGAGATCAATTTGGAAAATAGGGTCAAATCAGGTCCATTTTTTATCGAAAAGTAACAAGTTTAGTCTTAGAGATCCTAGCTTCCGTTTGTCTCTTGCAACGCAGTCAGAAATTGTTACCGCACCGTTTGTGATCAACACTCATAACTGGACGGTTAGCGAAGACGAACAGTCTCTGGTGAGTAACTAAGATCTGACAATGTCTCTATCAACCTCTTGGCTGCCTGTGGCTAATTATTGCCCTAAAATCCAGTATATGAGCGCAGAAAGACGATTTGAACCTCAGCCAGTTGAGATTTCGAAGCTAAATGCCCTATAAACTGACCTGCAGAGATGACATTAGCGAGCTATACTATCAACTATGTCATACACTGATGTAGCTAGTATTTTAATACTCGATACGCAATACCTAGCGAGCCACTTTACATCGATACTGACAGTAAACTATTCAAATAATGAATACCTTGGGTAGAAATGTGTAGCACTGCTAAAATAGCCACATAAAGCATGGATTTCATTCTGTATAGCCTTCGAAATTCTGCTCTTGTAGATACGCAATGCTTCTAATGCGTTGCAATATGCTGTAGGAAGTTGTTCGAAGTCTAAACAAGTACTGAAGTTCCACCCATTTGTTACGAAAATGACGTCATCGATTCAAAATTGGTCAGAACACACTTAAGATACGACATTGTCCACTAGTCCCCAAGCATTCTCCTTTCAGCTCATTCAAGCTCAATCAAACAGCACGGCTGTGAGTTGTTCAGTAAAGGACTCTTGTTCGTAACATTGATTGACGTTTCGAAAACCAGAGCGGAAGTCATCATCAGAGTCAAGTTTAAGGGTTGAATCGACTTAAATGGTGATTACCGCTAAAGGTTGTCAAAACTCAAGTCATAAACAACAGTTCTTTAGACGTCACCTCACGCGGACGATCTCAATACACGATCGACTGTTTCGTTCAGTTCTAAGCCATTTACCACATCTTGTTCATTTTTCGCGAGTTTTTGACTTCACTAGACCTTGTGCACTCATCCTTAAGGCTTTGTGCGGTCTATCTTGCAGGAGTTTGAAATGTAAACATTACATTGTTAATTACGAAATAACTTGAACAATATTGCCTCAAACTTTAACCAGAGCAGTTGTGAACAATGAGACTGTGACGCTGTTTGTCGTAAGAGGACCTTCTGTAAAGGTTTTCATTGGTTGTAATCCTCCTAAAATTCCGAGGCTCTATAGCTAGCTCGTTTCTCACAGTGAAAGTGGTTCAGAGCAATTTTCAAAAGAGTAATGAGACTTGTCCGAGATTGCTTTGGTTTCGAATTACTTCGCTTTGTGATTGGTCTAAAAACTTTCAGATTGGTCTAAAACCTTTTCAGATTGGTCTAAAAACTTTTTGTGATTGGTCTAAAAACTTTCAGCGTCACTCCTAATGGATCAGATAAACTTAAACCAACCGTGACTTGCTTACTCGCTTTCTCTCGCGCCTACGGTAGTTTACATGTTTAAGGTTCAGTTCTAAAAGTTCACTTATTGAGGTTCAGTTCTTAAGGTTAGATTTTTAAGGTTCAGTTCTTTTCTTCACACCTTCAGCAACTAGATGACATCTCGATAAACGAAAAAGAGAATTTTTCGCAGTATGTATCCTCTTTGACTGATGAACATAGAATACCCCTAAGCTGATTATGCGAAAGCAATGTTTATTGTTTGGTTTTTTGCAGGCTGATTTTGCAATTTGCCATCAAACTTTGGTTTAGGCCTCAAGAACAACCGGTGCTGCTTCAAGAATATCTAGACAAGACTGGATTTCATTTTTATTACAAATTGCAATAAACTTTGATCAATAAATTAAAGATTCTCAGAGAAAAGAATACTAGTACACAACTGGAGTAGAAACAGTCTTACCAACTGAGGGATGCCTTTTGATAAGTATTGCAAAAATAGGCCATTACAAGTTGGACTAAAAACTATTCTTTTCTACTTATTTGTATTTTCTTTAGTGTACTTCGCCCTTATTTTTTTTTTTTTACAAAGAGAAATCAAACGTCCTTATTAAAGCGAATCGACAATTTGTATACATGGGCACGCTCGTGCGTAGGCGTTTAATTTCCACTCTGAGGGTGGAAGTGCAAACCCTTCTCTACAAAGGAAGGAAATTCCACTTAGACTCTTAAGACTTATTACTTGATTAACAATCAGTCTCATTCGCTTGGTGACATTTAGGAATTTATAGCTTGACTAAGAGGAACAAATTGAAGCTAAGTGAAAAAGCCTGGTTCAATCAACGTTGAGGAAACCTCTACGATCAATATCTCTTTCCGGAAATGATCACACTCCGTTCCATAAGTGGATGACCCCAAACTGAAACTCTATCGTTAAGATTTTTGCACACGTTTCGTTCGAACATCAATCCGAGGCTTCGAAGGTAAACCTGCTGAGGCCTGTATTCTTTTCTCACGAGACAACACATGAGTTGTTCTACTTTTCGCAGATGGTGGCCTGATGGGTGAGATTATGTCATCCTTTGCCTCTGAGGTACGACTTTGAACACTGCTGTTGCTATCTTTTGAGCCACTAGATTCTCGTCTTGAAACGTGAATTACTGTGGGGAGTTCACTGTACTGGTCTGACTCGTAAGATTTCGTAGAAAAAGCGGGAGAAGCAGCATTCCTCTTGTACGACGGAGACGGTTTATCCTTGAAGGCACGCTCGTGAAGTGCATTGGCCACCTGCTTTTCTTTGTCATCTGAAGGTACTGAAACATCGTGCTTTGAATTTATGTCTGTAGCATGCTTAAGAGCTGGAATAACCAAATTATCGGCCTTCATGGCTCTAATATTTGTCCTCTTAGAGGGAAAATTTTCATATTCCCTTTCCGGAGCAAACTGTTTTTTTCTTAGCAAGTCGTCCATTGCTGGTAACTTTCCTAATATGGGGGTAAATGCTCTGTCTTTAGTTGTGACTGGCTGAGCTGTGTCGCTTGCTCCATCAGGGAGCCCGTCACGTGGTCTGACGGGAGTTGGCGTACATAGTGACTTTAAGTCCCGGACGTCAGGTTCGCTTGAAGTTCGTAACACAGTGAATAATGCCGAACGAGGCGTTTGAGCGCTTTCATACACTTCGGGTTGCTGGAAATGCTGTCCTAAAGGAAAAAAGAACTCTTTTAGTAATTTGTCAAGAATTTGAGGTATATGAATATAGGGTAACAGATACAGTGGAACCTCGATTTAAAGAATTGCCAAGGGACTGGGGAAATTGGTTCTTTATATCAAGTGTTCGTTATGTCGAAGTTCTGATTTTCACTATTGCTTAAATAGTGCTTTACTGCGAAGGATCGTGCACATATACGTTTCATAACCGCAGTTCATATATATGTATTTCATATGTTTGTTGTTTGATACATTTTACTGTAACTATAGCCGGGCTGAAACTAAAGTATCGTTCGTTATACCAAGGACTTCGTTGTATAGAGGTTCGTTCAATCGAGGTTCCACTGTACAAACTGGTTATAAGAACATAACTTTTTTTCAAGCAGGACAATTGTTTGCGATCTGGGGTTTGGGATGTCAACTGACCAGAGGTCTCCCAAAAAAGTTGTGACTAAAGTTGGCAGAGTGACGCACTGTTTTTGCGGGGAAACGGGTTCTCATCCTTATTTCAGGCCTCGTTAATTTTAATCTGCAAGGAGTTCAAATTTAATCTGCAAAGATTTTCGTTTTAAACTAGAAAGCTTACCGGTAGATTCCTTATCAGGACTCAGCGTTTTTAAAGCCTCCGCCATTCTGTTCAACTTATCGTCAGCACTGATGGGAGACCTGTTACCCTCCAGAGCCACGCGATCTTCCTCAAGAAGTTGCTTCAGACATTGGAGGTAGTACTTACGAAGCTTTTTGGCCGTGGAGTGACGCTCTTTTAAAACTTCACCTCTGTTCGAAAAATGAAAAATCGCAACTTTAAAGCAGCAGCGCTTTTACCTGTGGGATCATCGACTGATGGGTGATTCTCAGGAAATTTAAGTTACTCGAGTAGTTGGAATAATTATGTCAAGTAAAGTAATGATCCTAGCAGGCAAGCTGCAATTTTAGCAATTGCAGAAAAGAGGCCTGAAAAAGTTCAGGCCGCGACGGGAACCAAACCCGTGTCTGTTTATTTGCGCTTCAAAAATACACTACATGCAAAATAAATTTTTGCTCACCTGATCTTCTTGGCCGCACTAGCCTTGGTCTGGTGCACGTGATTCAACACGTCATCACGTATCTTAGCGATGGTATCCAAGTAGTATTGACGTAGTTCGTGGAGTCCACGGGTGGCTGACTCGTGATCCACGCTGCTGAAACTTGTGTCACTACCGCTGTTCGCTTGTGGCAAGGTCTGAGTGGAAATGAATCAATCAATTGATCAAGTAATCAATCTTTCTATCTTCTACCTGTCCCTCTGGTCGGTTAGTCAATCTATCATTTTGTCAGTTAGTCAGCTTGATAGTCAACCTTGTAGTCAGTTACGAAGGGCAAAGAAAGTTTATTATTTCAAAACTAAATGCATGTCACTAAGGTACGCATAAAAAGGAAGTCAATATCAAGAAACTGGAAAAGGAAAGACTTCAAAAGAACAAAAGCGGGTTGTAAGCACATAAATTTTATCAAATTATTTTAAGCCTGAGATATCAAATAATTATTAAGAAACACTCGTATTTCCATTTAACCCTTAAACCAGGGTTCGACACTAACGGTAGCCTACCAATCATAGACTAGCAGAAATTCAGCTCAAGCTAGTGGTTTTCGATTTCCACTCGCCAGTTTGGCTAGTAAACAAACTGAAATTGTCGTAACATCTACGTTGTCACTAGCCACTTGGCTAATAAGTTGAAAAGTTAGTGTCCAGGCCCTGTCTTAAACCTCTACGAGTGACCAGCATCTAATTTCTCCTGACAATATCACTATTAATCAAACATAAGTGTCACAAGAGTAAAGGAAATGATCCTAGACTCAAGAAGATTTTGATTGTTAAACAACTCATTCTTGTCGGCACTTTAACAAATGTATGGAGAACAGTACAGAGAAAAAATATACTGATGTAAGGGTGTAAATGGTTCAGAGTGTCGAATAAAGATACCTCAGCGTTGGCTCATCAGTTCACCTTTTTTAAGACACCTCATTCAGACTAAAGGCTGATAGTTTCTAAAGAAACTGTTTGGGGCTGCGTCGGTGGGGGTAACGAAATAATTTAGATATATCAACAAAGTTGAAATGGTAAATTGGCCACCGTAACGATTACAAAAGCTGACGTTTCGAGCGTTAGCCCTTCGTCGGAGCGAAGGGCTAACGCTCGTCGCTCCGACGAAGGGCTAACGCTCGAAACGTCAGTTTTAGTAATCGTTACGGTGGCCAGTTTACCATTTCAACTTTGTTGATATATCCAAATTACCTCATTGAGATTACCTGAGCAGCATTATCCCTCGAGTCTCGTCGTTTCATGTTGTACTGACTTTTCTTTTTCTCCTCTGCTATCTCTCTCTTTAGTTTCTCTATCACCATCGCGTATTCCTTCTTGACCGAGGCTAGCTCGTGTTTCATGTTCTCCCTGGTAGACAGGTTTTCCCGTCTCTCGTTTTCCCGTAACTCCTGCTGTCGCTTCACAGCATCCTCGTTACTTTTGCTGATCTCCTGTTGCTGTTGTTTCTCCCACTGAATTCTTGCGTTTTCTACTGCTTTTCTCGCTTTTTGTTCATACTGTTTCTCAAGTCGGGCTCTAAAAAGGATTTGTAAGGATTTTGAAAGTATTGGCGTAACTAATAAAGAATGGCCCTTTACTGCCAAAGCTGTTACCGGCTTCCATAACACAGAATAACAGGAAGCTGGTTCATAGCAGGCAGCCTGACAGTTTTCTGTAACCCATTTGTACTCTTAGGTTCAGAGAGACATCGTGAGTAGACTACGAGCAGTCCCTCCTTTTCGGCGAGATCCGCCGCACAAGTCGAAAAAATCCATGGAAAAAATTGACGTTAGCGCGCTGCGGAAGCTCTACTTTTGACTTTCGCATCGCAAGAGATTCAGGAGTCGAGCGCTCGACTCCCGGAGCTCCCGCGGTGCCCACAACACTGGCCCATTGTTAAATTGCACTGAACTAATAATAAACACCACTGGCCCATTGTTTAATTATAACGAAAACTAACATTACATCTTGCTGTTCTTTATTCAAACAATTTCTCGCCTTCTCTACTTCGCCTCTCATTCTCATGTCCAGATCCCTCTCAATCTTTGCACGTTGATCAGCCAGCTTGGATTCGTATTCAGTGCGCATGTGTTCAAGATAGTTTTGATGTTCTTTCAACAAGCGGGCCTTCTCAATTTCCCAATGTCCACGTGAAGAGTCGTCGGCCTAAGGATAGGTATAAAGAAAAGAGGATATTTAGCATGGCAGCATGAATTGTGAACCAGCGCAAGATGTCTTCTCTACTATGTTCGTCTCATTGTATTCAGGGGGTTTCAGGACTTTTGGAGAGCTGTGATAAGATTTCTAGACAGAGGAATGTCATGAAAGATAAAGGTCCAACCGCAAGTTACATACAAATATTGGTCATGACAAAAGCAGAAGCAAACTGATACGCAATAAAAAAATCAAACTAAATAGCATAACAACGACTTGACCAAAAACCGTAGGACGGCCGCTAAATTTGATTCGCTCCCGACAAACATGTATGGCAGTTTGTCAGGCAAGTTAACCTTGCTCGCCAAAAGGCTCACAATACCAATACCCTGATCCCAATGCATACTGCGATTAAGAGTGTTGCTACTTTCATGTAAGGAATGCTATTCCATCGCAAGTTACTTTACATAATTTTGTCAAGTTTCCCAGAGAGATCGCTGTGTTCTCTTATAATACTCCTTGGTGAACTGAGTGAACTGAGACAATGAGAAAAGTAAGTGTCGTCCCTAGGAACAAAACACATTGACTCGTTCAGGACTCGAATCTGGAGTTCGGTGCGCTCACCATCACGCCAATTTATCTCCTCAAAAAACGCACATGAGTAAAGCTCACCTTATTGTGAAAGTTTTCTTCTAATTTCTTCCTTTCGTGGTTAAACCTTTCCTCTGCTTCCTGAAGTGCTTCATCTACAAGTTTTTTGTTTTCTTCCTGGAATTCAGCTCCCAGTTGTTGTCGCACATTCGCCTCTATTTCCCTGACACGACTCTCCAATTTTTCATCTGCCTTAACTGCCCAGGCCTCCCTGGCAGTGGACAAGGCTCGGTCAATCTCTTCTTGGGTAGACTTTGCTGTTTCTTTGCGCCAGTCCTCTTGGGCTGTTAATATACGAGCCTAAAGAAAGTTTGAGGTCAAGCTCTTAAACTTTTTCAAACATGAACGAGACTCCTTCCTTCTTACCCGACGCAGAGCGCTCTATATTTAAAGTCGTCCTCTTAGCTTCACTTGATAGTTCTTCTCTAACTATTTTTCCAGCAATTTTTTGCGCTGTGAAACCTGCGATCTACTTTCAACTTGGAAGAGCCAAAAAAGGAAAGAAACACAAAAAAGGGGGAATTAAAAAACTCGGAGGAACACAGATGGCTAAGGATGGAAAATGTTAAAATTAATTGTAAATAAAGAATTTTGGCGAAATGTTTTACGTACACAAATCATTCATGTTCGGAGATAGCCCCGCCAGTAGACCCTCATTATTAGTGCTGCACGTGGCGCGTTTCTCCGCCCGCGGGAGGATTTGAGAAAAGAGCGGGTAGTTTTGCCGGGGTATGGCACTAATAAAGAGGCTTCAATTTCCGTGCCAGACCCCTCGCAGTACTCTCACCGGCTCGCACTGCTCAAAGTCTCCTACTTACCCGCGGGCGAATAAACACTCGTCCAAAAGCGCAAGCTAGTTCGGAGCGGAGAATAAAATTAATACTTAGACAAGAAAAGTTCCCTTTTCTTCCAAAACATCTTGTTTTCTCCATAATCTACTGTACTAACCCTAGAGCACGTGCTTGTAATTCTCCCTTCTAAATGAAGTTTACACAACTTACGACATTCACCTTAAGAATCTTCTCTCGATGTGAAAGTTCTTCAGTAGTCCACTGCTTCCTGGCTTGCTCGAGAGCATCTCTCAATGTCTTATGTTTAAAGTCTTCTAAATTCTTATTATATTCGGACTCCACGTAAGCCATAGCTTCGTTGACTTCTTTACGTTTCTGTTGCTCAGATTCCTCCGTCCATGCTTCCTTGGCTTCCTCTAAGGTTTCCATAATTTCAGCTTTCTTTTGTTCTTCAAATTCTCTGAAGATTTCTTCCCTAATGGAAGCAATTTCTGAAGCTTTTTCCTCGGACAATCGCTTTTCCCATAACAACTGTATGTATAAAAAACAGAAACGAAAGATTACCATAGCATGGTACAAAAGCTTGAACAAACCGAATGCGAATAATTTGATTACATCAGCTAAGTTGAAATTGTAAATTGGCCACCGTAACAAGTTAGAAAGCTGACGTTTCGAGCGTTAGCCCTTAGTCAGAGCGAAAGACGAAGGGCTAACGCTCGAAATGCCAGCTTTTTAACTCGTTATGGTGGCCAATTTACAATTTCAACTTAGTTGATATAACCAAATTACCTTGTCACCCCCACCGACGCAGTACCAGTTTCTTTAGAAACTTACACCCTTTATCCGAATGCGAATAGATTGGATCAAACAACCGTGTGTAAAAACTGTACATGAGGGCAAGCAACAGAATGGGTGTTTTACGGTAAGGAAAGCAGCATAAATGATAGTGATGATTTCTTCTTTTAATTCCACAGCATCTTTCCTGACCAAAAACAAACTAACAAACGTTGCGAAATTACGCGGGAGACAACCAAAGTTCCGCGGGAAAACAACCTGAGGTACGATATAATTTGGCAGGAAACAACCATTGAATAATAATATCGAAAAAGGTGTAAAGCTTTGGCGACCACAGCTGGAGATACGTTGAGTAATGGAATGATTTTACAAGCGTAACAACTGATCTCTTTACCAGTGCCTCGCCAAGAGCTTTTTCCACAGCCTCTTTCTTCTGCTGTTCAAACTGTTCGACGAGTTGAGAGCTGGCTGACTCTAAGACCAGGTTCACTTCATCTTCTTTCCTAGACATCCACCCTTGTTTAGCCAAATCCACCGCCATGGCTGCAGAAAGGCGAACAATGCTAGATTAAACAAACTGGATGAACATGGCGAAGGTAAGTCATGTACTCAAATATACTTGCTAAGTTCCGTTTGCAAAGTAAAGCAAATCTAAAGAAACCAGGGAGCTTAAGATACAGACGTTTTCGGGGCGACGGTGACGTGACAACCTAGGTAGACTGGGCCAGAGGTTGCTGTTTTCGTGCCATAATTTAAGTTGTTAAGATTCTGATGACGTCGAGTTTAATTAATTGTTGCTCTTTATAAATTAAGACTTTTTTGTCGTAGCATGGCTAAGTTTGAAGAATTCCGCCATCTCCTCGTCCTTTACTACARACGCTAATCTTATTAGCGATGAAGAGTTCTTGGTTTTGTATGAAATGTCTCCGTCTAAAAACCTCAATTTTCCATATGAAAATGTCCATAGATCTGAGGTGTACGTTTTCGAGGTGCATCTACGAATTGATAGAGGGAATGGCAGCAAGCAAAATTCCCTTTTATGTTAAGAATTCAAGTACTGTACGCGTACGTGCCCAAAACTTACCTCGACGATTTGGACTTCACTGTTGCTTCGGTCATTTTAACCAAAAGAGAAAACAAAAGGTCTCTTGAGTTGGCCGAGACATCGTGTGATGATTTGTGCGAAATGTGATAATGCAATCACTTTAATACAAGTGACAAAATTGGCAGTATATTAAATAAAACAAACAAGATCAACTCACGTTTTCACCACGACGGCAAACTCACTGATTTCACGTCGCCGACGTGAGGGCGACGGCGGGGCCGCATGCGCAGTCAATCTCGCCCCAATCTTAATCGGTCTCCACGTCGCCGTCGCCCCGAAAACGTCTGTATCTTAAGCTCCCTACTTATGAGACGAGTGCTGCGCAAAATATCTTAATGCGGGAATAACTTTCGGATTCTGCGCTCTGATACACCACCCCTGAGCTACAGTTAACTATATGGTGAATTGGTTCATGACTGTGCGACATTCGTAGTAGCAAATATGATCGACGTATCGTTGTCATCCTCGCGCACTTGTTATGTTGACTCTGACAGTAGTTTTGCTCTTTCAGTTACCACGACAATGGCGTCATAATGAGATCGAAGCACCGGTCACTTTCCCTTTTCCACTTGTTTATGTACCATTACGTTTCTATGCATAGTTATACCTATGTCCCGTTTCTTCTCCTCTTGCCACGTTTCCCTCGCCGTCTTCATGGCTTGTTCCACTGCTTCAGATATTTTCTTTTGTTCCTCCTCTAACCACTTCACTTCAGCAATAGCCACAGCAGCTTCTATCGCTTTAGTTCTCACCGCTTCGTCTTCCTTCTTCCATCGGAGCCTTTCCTGAGTGAGAGAGGTCTGTAATAGGCTGTCCTGCAAAAACGATGGTGAGGATTTGTAAAAACTCATTGTGGGGCTATTGGAAGCACTCGAGAGAAGCCATACTTATTCAAGCCTTTTTAGACTACAGAAAGCGACATTGAGTTGACAGTCACTCTGCCGAAAGTACTCACTTGAGCCACAATCTCCTTTTGCCATTCCTTCTTAGCTTCAGCCACTGCGTTAGTTATGGCCACCTCAACAGCTTGATCAATCTCTCGCTGTCTCATTTCCTCTTCGTTCTTCAGCCAGTCCGCGCGGGCTTGAGACAAAGCCAATTCTACTGCCTGGTTGAGCTGTTGGTCACGGGATGCTCCGTGTGCTTTCTCCAACTCTGTGCGTACTTTAACTATCTCCTGACAAAATTTACACTACATCAGCAGGAAGGAAGTAATCATGATAGTTTCTAATGTCTAAGGGAAACGTAAAGTTCTCATACTTTTAACTTTATTAGTAATTGACACCAATTTTCCGAAAGAAGTATATCGTTAATCCAGCGGGTACAAAAATTGGAAGTAGGTTTAATTTTTTCATGCATAATAACGCATATCAGGGCAAACGTTATGTGAGGTTTCCTTTCCAGCAAAATACACGGTATGAACAATAACAATCTGTGCAAAGCTACAAAACCACATCAAAAATTAATTTCAAGTCTGGCTCAGACAAATCTTGTTTTCAGCAACCTGGCCTTGGGTGACGCAGAGAAAAGCCTAGGTCTAAAATCACTCAAAGGGTTTCCGGCACCCAGGAAACTGTCATGCGGAACAATCGATGCCTGGAAACGAAAACTGTGGCTCGTTTAATCACGTAAAAGTTATTTCCTGTCACTTTTTTATTACTTGGTTCGGGGGAGGAGTACAGATTAGAGACATTGAGGAAGATCATAGTGCCTCTCTCTCTCTCTCTCCACCCAAATTTGTACATGGGTGTTCTTAAACTGTCATAAAAAACGAATAAAATGTCGGTTTGGAGGTCGCCTTCGATCGACTAACATCCTTTTCAGGGAGAGAGCAAAAATTGTGCTAGCCCTTCACCATGGAAACTAGAATCATTTCGGGCAGTAAGGGTCACCGGGCTGATGTACGAAACTAAACTTTACCATCGTGAAAATACGTCAAATGCGATCCGACGTTTATTAAGGTGTTCCTGTATCGTAATAAAATTTAAAATTACTACTATACCTCCTTTGTTTTCAGCTTTTGTTCTTCGTCCCATATTCGTCTCACTTCTTCGATAGCATTAGCTAAACGTTTCTCTAATTCATCGTTATGATCCTTGATCCATTCTCTCTTAGCAGCAGCTATCTGATCAGCAAAGTAAGACGATTGCTCACTGCTCCATTCCATACGAGCTTTTGACACAGCTTCCTCAACTGCTTTAAACTTTTCTTCCCCCATATCCTGTACATTGAAAGTAAATTACTACACACCTGATAAAAATTCCAAGAAACAAGAACTAAACTAGATATAACTCCCAACTGTAATAGTTATAGTAAACGTAAAGTCTACTGAAAAAGAGAAACTTTCAAGGCGTCAAGAGGTTACAACGGTTCGAAAAAGTTACAGCTGAAAATAAACGATTTTTTGTCATAGACATATCGAAAAAACAATACACCTCTGATTAAAATGTCATAACTTCTACTCAATAACGAGCATGGTGAAAAATCTACGGGGGGGTTTGAGGGCGAGCTCCTGCACGACACTAGAACCGCAAAGCATTCAAGCCAACCAAAATCGTTACTCTAAATTGGAAAAAACTGCTTTTAACAACGGTGAACCTCACTATATTCATCACTAATGAACCCAAACTTGTACCATTGCGCAAATGGCCTACCACAGATGGCTAAAGAGTTCTCTACGGCTCAGTTAAAGAGACCGCAAGATCGCGAATGACAGGAGTTCGTGTTCGAACTCTGTGAGGCACGCGATTTTTTTCGGACGGGCTATAGACACATTTGAAAAGCGGTAACAACCTTTAGAAGCAGTTCCCTTTGCTTCATAACTTCATCATTGATTCGCTTCATCTCTTCTCTCCTCCACCGATCTTGGGCCTCTTCCAGATGCTGGGCGTGTTGCGTTTCAAGAGAAGCCCGCAATTCATCGACTAACTTGGCTTCACTCTGACGAAAGAGATAAATTAAAATATGGTACACATTGGTGGTCAATCTCGAATAGTAGAAGCCAAAGGAAGTCTGGGCTTCGGACAAATTTTAAGTGCTAGACTCTTGCAGTGTTTTTTCTTGCATTTTGAGGTCTATATAAATTTTATGTTGCTATTTTTTTTCCTCGAAGTCAACTAATTTGAAGTATGCGGTTGGCGTCATGAATGTACGTTGTACTATACACATTTTTGGTTCATATTCTCGTAGGAAAGGTCACCGTTTTGTTCTTTATTCATGAACAAGTTTGTCAGATCTTTTTTTGTTCATTAATTTTGTCGTAGTTTCAACAAATTGGTAACAGTTTTTCGTGTCGTCCAATTCTGACTCTAAAACTCGGCGTGTTTAACAAATCCCATTCCCGCTTCGCATTCGTCACTCATATCATTTCGGACACAATGGGACTCCATTGATCCCTTCTACCATATTATTCTGAGACCTTTAATCTCAATCTTAAGAGCATTAAAACCCTGGACATGACGTCTCTCTTACCCCGGACAATAGCAATTGTTTTTCCTTCTCAAATTCTTCCTTCATTTTCTGTTCCAAACCGCGGCTCTCCTCGCCTAGCTGTACATAACATTCCTTTATCCTGATCAACTCTTCACTATTTTCTTCCAACTCTTTCCTTAAAAAAAAAAAAAGAAGAGTTCTTTGCTTGTCTATTCAAAAGCTTTTATCAGCAGATTAATGAATGCCTTTGGCTGCCAAGTGTAAAACAGAATTTGTGCATGTAGTAGGATTTTGGCTTTGGTACCAAAGCTTCAAGTTGTGTGAAAATTAATCGCGCGAAAATCCTTTGTTTTCCAGTCTCGAATGTCTTGACTCTCGACTCGACCGTCTCAAAACACGGCTCGATCTCGATCATCACAGTTTTCGAGAATCGAGGATGGTGAATCGAGGAACGAGTTTGGAGGGAAACTTTGAGCGGTACTGTAGGAAATTTAAGTGTAAAATTGAAATTTTAAACGATGTTAAGGAGAGTGTGCAGTTGTAAATAATGCAGGGCGTTCTCGTGGGACAGTAACCCACGCCGTAAATTAAAGTGAAAGAGATACAAAAGTAGACACCCAGAGAAATATACTTCAACTCGTGGAATTTCTGTTCATATTCTTGGGTCAACTGATCTCTGAGCAAGTTTTTAGCATCCTCATGAAGCTGTAGGCAAGCTTCTCTGCATCTAAAAGAAAGTCGAGAAGCTCATCAATCACTTACTTTAAGGATAGATGAATCAACCAACATATCAGTCAGACAGTCTGTCTGTCTGTCAGGATGTTTTTCTCTCAGCCAGTTAGCCAGCCAACCAGTCAATCTGTCTGTTAATGAGTTGGTCAGTCGATGAGTCAGTCAGTCAATGAGTCAGTCAGTCAATGAGTCAGTCAGTCGATGAGTCAGTCAGTCAATGAGTCAGTCAGTCAATGAGTCAGTCAGTCAATGAGTCAGTCAGTCGATGAGTCAGTCAGTCGATGAGTCAGTCAGTCAATGAGTCGGTCAGTCGATGAGTCAGTCAGTGCGTCAGTTAGTGCATAACTATCGCAAGATTAACATGCAACTTCTCCTTGTAGTTCCATTAAGTTATCTTGTAAACAGGTTAGGAGAATAGACAAGCTCATCTGCTAGAGAATTTTATTTTGGAATAAGACCAAATTCTCCAGTCTACATCACAAGGACAAGTACGGCAGTAAGTGGGGAGAATTACTTGTTGGATCTAGAGAGTTAATGGGTTTAAAGTGAACTCTTTGAGACTTGTGTGTATGCGTTAGGCTTTCTTTTAGAGTAATAAATATATCAGCATTTTAAAACTTAAAAAGTCCTGGTTTTTAGAGATGTCCAAAGAAAAATCAAGGGTTAAGGAGTTCACGAGAATTTAAAAAAATTGGAACATTGCTAGAACAAATCCCTCTCTCCCTGTGCAGGTATTGTAAATAGCTTGTTTACCAACAGATCAAAGTTCAAGAACGATTTACAATATATTACTTTTCTATGCTGTTCCTTTTGTCTTCATCAAATTCTGCAACCATCTGAAAAAGAGTGGAAAAATATGTAAATCAAAGAGCAGATGCTGCAGCAGGGTAAAACTTAAAATTCAAGAAATGTGCAACTTATATACAGTAGTTCGAGATTATGGCTACCTACCTCAGCCATTTGTTGCTTAAGTTCAGCACACGCATCTGTCAAATCATCTCTCTCCTGAAGAGCCTCTTTAAGGTTTGCAGTGGATTCCTTCATTCAAAGAAAAGAAGAAAGCTTATACATGAACTAATTTGGATATATCAACAAAGTTGAAGTGGTAATTTGGCCACCGTAACGATTACAAAAGCTGACGTTTCGAGCGTTAAGGGCTAACGCTCGAAACGTCAGCTTTTGTAATTGTGGTCAATTTACCACTTCAACTTTGTTGATACATCCAAATTATTTTGTTACTCCCACCGACGCAGCCCCAAACAGTTTCTTTCGAAACTATCAGCCTTTAATTAAAAATGAAGTTTTTAACTCTTATTGAATAAAAAATCCAACCAGACTTTGACTATAGCGGATACCATTGNCCTCCGACAAAGGGCTAACGCTCGAAACGTCAGCTTTTGTAATCGTTACGGTGGCCAATTTACCACTTCAACTTTGTTGATATATGCAAATTATTTCGTTACTTCCACCGACGCAACCCCAAACAGTTTCTTTCGAAACTATCAGCTATCAGCCTTTATACATGAACTATCTGATGAGAATTTTTTTCTAGTTCACAAGTTCATGACAATCTGCAACACACCTGAAGGTTTTTCGTTGTTATTTCTAAATCCTTAAGCACTCTTTGGTGTTCCTCATCTGAAATGATCAGCACATACATGTATATGTCAATGGTTGGAGTGTGAGGGAAGAGGAATTAATTTTTCTGGGCAAAGTTCAGTTTTTCAAGATGGCTGTCTCTCTTTTTCTGTATTGAGCTCAAGGCTGCACATACAAAAAAAGCATGGTAAATGTACTTGTTTAATAAGGTGGATGGGGGAAAGAACGTTTTAAGATATGATGTAATGGATACTTGTCCAGCTAAAAATGGGTTGTGTCCTAGCAAAAATAGGTTTGACTGTACTTGACAGGTTGCTGGCTGGGGAATAATTTCAAACATATTAAAAAAAAAAGGAAATTTTTTTACCTGGATCTTTCTTGTTATCCTCCATTTCTTTTATTTTCTTCTCCAGTTGTAACGATTTATTCTGGTGAATGTCACAAAAGGGAAACACTGATAAATAAACCAATTTTCTTTAGCCTTAGGTCTAAACTGAAGAAAACAGCAAGTGCTCCACTCGTACAGACACTGTACACGTTGGATCACCTTGTGAGGTACGAAAGAAATATAATGCAGCACTTGAAAGGAGTTGTAATGAGTCAAAAACTGCTGTCAATAAACTAATGAATAGAACTCCACCTCATGTTCCTGTGCAATCTGTTCCATGCGTTGAGCTTTCATTTCCTGATCTTTTAGCTGATCTTTTAAGGTGACAAGGTTTGTCTCTAGTTGATGCACCTGTTCCTGTTTGGCCTTGTAACTAATCAAGCAGTGCTCAAGTTCTTTCCTCAGCTCACTCACTGTTTCTTCCAATGGAATTTTGCTGACAGAAAGAAAACATAAATAAAAGCTCTGCTTCTTACATCTGCATTTTAGGTTAGAGTAAAATTAAAACCCGAATGTGAAATACTCAGATCACAGTTAGGGTTCAAACACAGCAAAGCACATAACCCCTTTATACCCTTACATCAGTATGCATATTCTCCATACTGTTCTCTAAACAATTCCTAAGCTGCTGACAGGGAGAATTTACTAAAAAATCAAGACCGTCTCTAGTTAGTGATGGTATCTATGATTCTTGTAACCTTACCATGCGATTCAGGTGTGATATTGTAAATAGAAGTTAGTTGATAGTCAGCCTAAGGAGGATGACAAAGGGTAAGTGCTAAAGCCCAAGTGACAAGTATTAATCAGATAAACTACAGACAATCTCTCCTTACTGAGACTTTGGAGTGCTCCAGTTCTCTTTGTTCAAGTTTCTCGCAGTCAGATGTGGCAAAGACTCATTATGGCCTCCAGGCCCTAATCCTACACCGAGCCTACTTGCACTTCCATACATCTTGATCTGCCCTTGAAGTTCTGACAGCTCATGCTGATACGTGAAGTAGACAGTGCAAAGTTTAATATAATAATCACATAACCAAAGTTTTAAACATTGTACAAATGAACATAGAATTAATTATAATAAGAAAACAAACCTTGAGGGAAATGCACTGGCCTTCAGCAACATTCCTTGCAGTGGAAGTCTCTTGAAGAGCCATGCGTAATTGGTTAATTTCTGACATTGTCCCTAAAAAAAAATTATTAAACACGATGACAGAAAAATATCAATAACATTGGATAGGAAAAGGGTGTACTTAATTATAGATATTGAAGTTTCTAGTGTATCCAATCTTCAGGCATCAACACTTTAAATGCCAAAGGTCATCCTCACCCTTTTGCTTGGATGGCTTGTTGGCAATCATTTCAATCTTTTTACCTGACTTAAGGATTTCTTGACACTGCTTTTGACTGGAATCAAGACTTCTTGTTAATGAATTGATCATTTCTGCTTTCTGCACAAGTTCATCCCGCAACTGATTAACTTCTTCATTCTATAAGCATACAAATTATTTGTTAAATGGACTAAAATTATTTCTCAAGAGTAGCATCCACAAAGGAATTTTCTGTCAAAATCCAGAAACAACAGAAAGTGTAATACAGTTTTGTCTTTTTTCACCTTGCAGTCCCTTGATAAAATAGCTTCATCCAGTTTCTGCTTTAGTGTCAGGGTTTGCTCCTCATGTTTTTTCTTCATGGCATTTGTAACACTTTCATGCTGTTCTTTTGCCCTGGTCAAGGATTCTGAACGACTCAGTTCAACCAACTGCTGGTTCAAGCTGTCAATTGTGGTTTCACTGACATGAAGTTTGCTGACCACCTGAAAATATGTGAAAATGTGGTGACCAGTACCCCAGACTCTGGCACATCGAGGTTGGAGTTCTAGTTCTGGCCAAGGTCATAGTAGTGAGTTTTTGGCCCCAACACTTAAGTCTCATAGTACATGTACACCCTGGAGTACATATATCTTATTAACCAAGTGCGAGGGCGGTACTGGGAGAATATCGGCCTGAGGTCTTGACAGTACCGACCGAGTGCAGCTCGGTCCGTACAAAGAAGACCGAGGGCCGATGTTCTTCCAGCACAGTCCCGAGCAAGCTTGGTTAATAAGAGATTTATTATACCACTGAAGTTCAAAGGGACACAAGTGCGGTATCATTCGGGACAGTGCCCGCTCCAATACTTAGAGAATATTGGACCGGCAATAGAGCATTTTGATTGGTTGATTTTAGTTATTGGCCCTCTGACTGCCCGAGTCGTGTAATAAAAATTGGTACCACCAAACTTTGAAGGAAGAATGATGAAATGGGAGGGGTTACCTAGAATGATAGAGAACGCCATCTTGGTGGTAATGCAATACTCCTGGCCAACACTCCTATTTTGCTTAGGCTAATAACAAAAGCTGGGATAGGAGTAAACTTTTAATGTCAGATTTCTTGGGAGTTTATTCAGCTTGTGGATCAAAACCTTTTCTGAGAAGAGAGGAGAGAAAGCTTGAGTGACATCTGTCTAGTATGATTACAGTTTCAATGAATCAAGTATGTTATTCAATTATATGTACCTCTTCTTTACTTTCTTTCAAAGCATTAATCTGTTGATAAGCGGCAGCAAGTTGGCCTTTCAAGTTGTTCAATTCTGTATTACATGTTTGCACCATTTGCTGTGAGTTTTCAAGACTTGTTGCAATGCCATCACGCTCATCTGCAAAGATACAAATTACTATGCAAAAAATCAAAATGCATGAAGCAGTGTATGGACAAAGTTCTCATTAGGGCCAATTTTCCGCGCTCTGCAATCCATTTACTCTTGCTTACCCCTCTCTGCTTGAGACATTTACAAGAACCTTTGCTCTGATTGGTGAGGTGCTTTGGTTTTCCCACATATTTCATTTTATGTTACTACAAACCTTTCATCAGTGCAATCTGGTGTTTTAAAATACGGATCTCTTTTGCCATCTCCTCCTCCTGGTTTTGGAGCTTCTGTGTCAGTTCTTCAATTTTTCTGCCTCGTGCTTTGTATAGTATCTGAAGTTGTGTTGTGTCCTGGGTACCATCTCCTGAAAAGCCATTTTCACTGTCATTTCTTCCTTGTTCTTCTCTTTTGGTGACCCTGTTGTTTGCGTGGGGAAATCTTTCATGGTGTCCATGATAATGAACTCTATAATTTCCAGGGGTGTCTATTCTGTAAAAATTTTGTTCATTTGAATACTGTGTATTGTCTGCATCTTGGGTATAAAGAGTTTGTACTGGAGCTTGTGAATATGTTCCTTTGTCAATGTAACCTCCATAATCTTCATCCAAGTTGTAACCACCATGATTGCTGCTGTCTTCAGATAAGTTTGAGTAACTGGCATCTATTACAAAGCATTGTTGTAATGATGTAATTAGTATTTATTTCATGCATTGTTGTAATGATGTAATTAGTATTTATTCCATGCATTGTTGTAATGCGCAGTTGATCATCCCGTCATGGAAACGGCGCAATATAAATCCACAATTTTAGTTTTAGTTTTTTTTAGTTTTTAGTTTGAGGATATTTTGGCTGTGGAGAGCCATAGTGCTACATACCATTCTGTGGAGAGGCTTTTCCTTGTATATTTTGATGAGGACTATAGCTCCCATACTGTTCAAAACCTTGATCAACATCAACATCATTTGGCAAAGTTTGATAATAATTCACACCATTTTCATATCCATTATAATTTTGATTGTACCGATCATGGCCTTCATCATCAGGACTCTCCTGCTCTCTGTGATAATATGCTTGAGTTTCATACTGATTCTCATATTGATGTCCAGGGTGATAATCATAAGGTTCTTGTGCCTCATTTGGATTTAACACTTTGCTTTTTCCTGATTCACTGACGAGCTGAAATGCACGCTGCGTCATTAGCGAGGGTCTTTCAAATGCCCCATTCTCAGATGGTATTATCCTTTTGGAATCTTGTCTATTAAAGATAGCTGGAGGTACTTGTTCAGAAATCTCATCAGAGAATGGAGTCTCTCTGCTATACCCTGAGCTTCGAGGATCGTGTGATGAAAAAGAAGCATTGTCATCATCAAGAAGTCCATCGTCCAGTTCACGGTCTAGCAACTCTCGAATCTTAATAGGAAGAAAAATAAACACAGCATACTCTATCAGGTGTGAGCTACACGTAAACTTTGTTGTAGAAAACAGGAATTTTACTTTTTTAACTTAAGGTTTAATAACCTCTTACTACGCGTGATACATGAAACCTGGTGGTGAATACATTGATTCAGCAATATAAAATAAATAAATCCAAAACTACATTGAATAGAAACCAAACTATTTGCACTAAATTAAGCAGTTCCAAGCACAGAATATATAGATGTTTTACTTTAATTTGCAGTTCTAACCACTGAGTGTACAGAATGAGTAATTAAGCTGTACATACATGTATATAACAAACAAGAACATACAAAAAAAAAGGCATCCTTCCCTTGGATCTTTTAGTAGAAAAAACTCATACTGAGCTGTTTATTTTGTTTATACAAATATATGAATATCATATATTTGAACTGGGGATAAATAATTGATAAATGAAAGTGATTGGTGGCATGGAGGTCATGGGTTCAACTCCCATTTTGGCCTGAATTTTTTTCAGGTTTTATTTTCACTCCTGTTTATAAGTTTTGTTCATAAATGAAAGATCACTATCATCTTTACTTAAATTTTTTTCTTTTGCATAAATTTTACACTCTTTCTGACACCAAGAAAGTACTAAAAAAAACCTTAAGCCTACAAAATTATCAAAAGGTCTCAACATCATTAAAATACTCTCTTTTTATTAGGTTGGTTCAATTCACCGTACAGTACCTCTTGCTCTCTTTCTTGATCTTCCTTCTCCAATGCTGCTTCTTCTTCGTCTTCCAGCACCTGTCATATAAAAAAGGCATCAACAATGAGTTCCTAACCTTTCACCACTTCCATCTAAATCACAATTCCATGTGGATGATAAGGTTGTAAAAAGTACATAAACCTTTTTTGCCTGATGATATAAATTATATCTATGCATATTTTTAAAATTTTCTTGATCTTTCTGCCAGTCAGTTTTAATCCTTACAGTGCCATTCAATTTTTTTAACTTTTCATTCTAAACACATGAATTTATAATTATGTAAAAATCTCTGAATTATAGGAAATGGAATTTTAAAGTAGGATGACTTAAAATTGCTTTTTTGCATGACCACTTTAGGGTGTCATATTGTTAACAGCAAGGAACTTATGGAAATCTCTTGAGTGCTATAGCTTTGTTATTGCAATTTCGAATAAGAATAAGAATCATATCAAGAAATGCCCTAAAGTGACAAGACTGGAGGGCTCAAACAATATGATGTTAATTTTACAGTTTGGAATGAAAACTTCCCAATATGAAAAAAAAAAAAAAAACACCAGCTGGTGCATCGAGAAAAATTGCATGCAGACATTTATTATATAAAAATTAAATCTAATACTTTAAGTCACAGATCCATGGATGTATATTTAGCAGAGTACTTCAAAAATTTACATGTTCCTGTTGGATTGTGGTGGATTATACCAAAACCTCCATCAAGATAGGATGTCCATGGGAAATTCAGGATATGACATCAACTTCTTTTTCATAAGGAAGGCAGGGGGTTTAGGAATTTAAAAGAATTGCCATTTGGCCTGACTTCAAGCTGATGCAGGAGAAAATACATTCTTGATGTCTGTAAATTTTTCGCCAACATTTTCACTTTTAATAAGCTTGACACAATGCCTGGATCTGAGAGATGTTAATAAGTTCATGCACTTTCAATTGAGCCGCAAGCTTCCTATTCTTAATTAACTGAAGTTGTTTGATATTTTTAAGTTTACTAGATTCCGTGTACTTTCAAAGTCACTTTGGATGTTATTAGACATTTTCGACGTAAACACAGTCTCACTGAAATGGGAAAATTGGCATGTGTGGCAGATGTGATGGGCGGGCAAACACTGACACACCAAAACTCAAAGAATCAACGCGGCTCCTGTTGTTTCACGAAAGATTCACTAAAGTAACTCAGAGTAACTTATTTTGCGAAAAGGAAATAAACATCCTATCTTCATCACTGTCTCCTAGATCTAATAGAAAACCTCTTGCCCAACCCAAAATATGAATATAGCATCACATTTTCAAGTGAACGAAGAAAGAATCTTGTGTATTGTCAATATAATTAGGCTAAACAAAAATTTAGTCAGCACAAACACACAACACGAAATCATAGATGAAATTTGATCCTAATGAATTGTGAAACAGCCGCAAGGAACGTAAAACAACACTATGGAAGGCTAAACTGGAAATATCATGCTTGCATAACTAGTGATTCAAATCAAAGCTCTTAAAAGCAGCATATACAGAGCGAAAGCGAGCAGTTTTTTCAGTGCACTGTGCCTCGAGATAAATTGTTGATAATCAAACACAACTCTGATTTCAACTTGTCAAACTGCAAATGCCTACCTGAGCATCGAAATTCACCTGGCTGATCCCAACACTCATTCCTCAATTATCTATCTGGGTGCTTAACCTTCGATCGAAGCATTTTCTCAAAGATAAAACAGAAAAAAAGAACGAAGAAATGAGCGGATTGCAACTCAAAAGATTATTTCATATCTCAAGGGAATTTGCCCGCGAAAATTATTACTAGTGCCAGTATCTAACACTTACCATAAAAAGTCCTCAAAGGGGAGGCACCCTAAGGGAAAAAAAGCTAACTTACCAGGGAGGACTAGAAGACTGAAGATGACCATTTCTTCCCACAAGGCTCTACGGTCATTTCATTAATGCCACGTATTGTCAGCGCCATTTTGATCGAAACAAAAATTTAACGTCGGATTAAACCGGCGTTAGAACAATCTATTTTACTTGCTTCCCCACTGATTTGGACAAGGAGGTGATAGTGAAGTAGTGCACCATGAATTGGTTAAGTACCGTTCTAGTTGGTTTAGTTTTAGCGCTTTTAGCGCTGATTCCAGTTGAATGTACTGAGTTGACTTTTGAATTGGAAGACAACGCTAGACAATGTTTCTACGAAGAACTCAAGAAAGACACTAAAGGAACGCTTGAATTTCAGGTCAGTGTTCAATTTATCTAGGATGCGAGAACTGAGATTTCTTGTAATTATTCATCCAGTCGTGAAGAGCTTCCAATTTTAATTGCCAGCGTTCAAATCTCATTAAAATATAAATCAGCCAATGTGTGATTTGTCAAACGTACAGGGTTTTTACTTAGATTCCTAATATAAATGTTTGTTTGGTTCTGTTTGTTGAGTAATTTACCTTAACAAGTATATAAACTGCCAATTTGATCGCTATCAATGGCGTACAACTGCATGACGGCCAGTTTATTCAACGCACATTTTGCTGAAAGGAAAAAAAAATCACTATTTTAACCTTCTTTGAGATAATAATAAATAGATATTGTTTAGTCAATACCCTGTACTACTGGGAGATTTTAACCTTAGAATTACAATTTTGTCATTGAAAACAAAGAAGTACTGTTGACTAATCTTTGGTATACACCTGCAGGTGATAAGAAGTACTAAAAGTATTTCTTTCAACTGATATATTTCAAAATCTCTACTTGGCTCTTGGAATGCATTTGTGCATAATCAAGATTTCAGTGTGTATTAGTGAACTTAAGTGCAAATTTGACCCTCTTCAAGTTAAGCATGTTGTGTATATATATATATATATATATATTTAGCATGTATCAAGTTGGGTTAGAGGCACGGTGGCCTCATGGTTAGTGTGCTCAACTCCTGATGTTGTGGTCTGGGTTAGAGCCCTGGCTGGGGACATTGTGTTGTGTTCTTAGACAAGACACTTTACTCTCGCAGTGCCTCTCTTCAACCAGGGCCCAGTAGTTCGAAGGCCAATTAGCACTAACCCAGGGTCAAATTTTCCTCCAGGTTTCCTTATTTCTTTATTTAAGAACCTTTATGGGATAATTGTCCCTATTCTTTCTGGAGCATCCAATCATCAAATTGTAGACAAAAATAGTTAAACTGAATTTTCTCTTAAAGCTTACAGATCTGAACTGAAATTTTCACACCAACCCTGGGTTATCTTAACCAAGCTTTGAACAACCCAGCCCAGATGTTTTTAACTGGGTACTGGTGAATTTAATGCTGGGGGGGTAACCCTGCAATGGACTAGCATCCCATCCAGGGGGGAGTAGAAATACTCTTAGTTGCTTCATGCGATAGAAACTTGAGTTACATGCCAGCCTGGGCCACTTGATTCGTAAACAGACTTATGAATCAAGTCGCTGCTACCAGGAATGAATGGCCACCAAAGACCACTTATTTTAATGTCTTTTTTCTAAGAGTGTATACGACATACAGTTGCAGGGGTTTTATTAGAAGCCGGGACCCGGGTACCGGCACCCGTCTACTCTGAGTACAGTACCCGCCTTCACAAAAATGAGGTCATGAGTGGATAAATAAAAGAACAATAAAAAAACTCAGACTAACCGAAACATCTTTCCACAACTCTCCCGCTTTGCTAGCATAAGCTAGTTAACCAGGAATTGCAACTCCGAATTACAATCCTTTTTACATGTAAACTAATATTTCTGTGTCCGGATTAACGAGTGTTTTGTCAAGCAAAGTAATAAATTTCAAAGTTTGATCGCATCGCGTGTCTTCGCGAAACGCATCGCTTACGATATCAAAGTAGATACCAGGACCCCCTCTTGTCAGCTGTTGCATAACATTTGCACGTGACATTTCACACGACTGAAAAGCACATGGTTTTAAAATGGCCGCGACGAATAAAAGATCTTCTCAAGGCGTCCTTGACAATTTTTTTGTCGTTTCAAAGAAGTCAAAAGGTGAGTTCTTAATACTTCACAAGTCATTTCTTCAACATAATAAACTTGCAGTGGTGGATATAAATAAAGTATATTTGCATGTCTAAAGATTCAGTGAAGCGCGACGACCTTTCAATATAAACAAATCATCAAAATCGCCCTTCGTTCGCCACCGATTTCGCCGCTTTGTTTACTTCTTTTCGCCCTGGCAGACAATTCAACAGTGCCTTCAGTACAAGAGGCTACTGGAGAGGCAGAAACAAAGTCTTCTAATGAAGCAGTCTCAGATACGTCACAGCGAGTAGAAAAAACTCGTGGGACAAATGTTTCTAAAGCAATAGCAGATGACATTATGTTATTAGAAATGGAGAGATGTGGACTTGCTAACCTGCACAACTACTATGAGTGCAAACAAAAAAGCTGCAAAGATTTCTCAAAAGAAGAAGAGGCCAGGCAGAAGAAGCTGAAGAAGAGACGATTTCATCACAGCTGGGTTGAAGAAAGAGAACTAGCCTATGATAACACCACAGGCATTTGGTGGCTTCTTTTCTCAGAAAACCAAGGCATGTTTTGTTTTCTTTGCTGCAAACATAAAACTTTGAACACTCAAAACAATGCTGCAGTATTCAGCACTACACCCAGCACAAGATACAGGAAAGAGGCCATCAGAGAACATTCTTTAACCAAAATGCATGAAGCTGCTGTGGAAGCTGAAATGAATCACAGGGTGTCAATGTTTCATCAACAGTATGAAGAAAAGAAAGCAGTTCGCAATGATGTATTGTACAATGCTTTTGCAGCCTTGTACTGGTTAGCAAAGGAGGCAGTTGCCAATGTTAAGTTTTTCTCTTTGCTAAATCTGTTCCGGGCTGTTGGTCTAGACAAAATGCAGCATTTTAACCACAAATCTGCTGCTGCAGTGAGAGAAATGTTCCTGACAAGTGGAAATGTGGTCAAGAACATGATTATAGAAGAAATAAAAAAAGCAGGTTCTTATGGCCTTCTAATTGACGAAGTAACAGACATTGCTGTCACTGAGCAATTAATCACATTCGTGCAGTTTTGGAACAGCACTTCTGGTGGCACAGAGATTAAGTTTCTTAGTGCTAATGATCTCCTTGTTGAATCTGATTCTGCAAATGCAGAAACCATAACAAGCACTCTTGTAAAGGAGTTAAATCAGTGTAACTTATCAGTTGAAAAGCTCAATGGCCTTTGCACGGATGGAGCATCAGTGATGACGGGAAAAACCAGTGGGGTAGCTACCAGACTCAAAGAGTTAAACAAACACCTTGTCAGCATTCACTGCATCTGCCATAAACTGTCACTTGCTTGCTGTGACACTAATGATGAGATCGCATACATGCAAGAAGTTGAGAGATGGCTTTTCCAGGCCTGGAAATTTTTTGAAAATTCCCCCAAACGACTTGCAGCATATCTAAAGACCCAACTTTCTGTGAAAAAGCTGCAAGAGCCTTCTAAAGAGGCTAAAGATAAGTGTGTCCGTCGACTTGCTAAAGCTACTCGCACAAGGTGGCTCTCTCTGGGCAAGGCTGTAGAGGGTGTACATAAGGATTACATACCCCTCATGCTTACACTAAGGCAACTTGACCAGAAAGATGCCCAAGCATCAGGTCTTCTTGGAAAAATGTACAAAGTGAAATTCATTGGGGTGGTAACAGTCATGCATCACGTTCTTCCTGTTCTCAACAAACTCAGCTGCACCTTCCAAGAAGGAAAGATTTCCTTCTCCCATATAAAGCCAGCAATTCAGAAGTGTATTGACGATCTTGACAAGATTGTCCAGACGGGAGTTCCAGTCACTGAGTTTCTTAGAGATCTATCACCTGGAGGCAGACTGGAACAAGCTGATCTCATTGCTTCTGATGGAGATGAGCTGTTTCTCAGCAATTTCCTGGTGAAATATGTCAATTCACTGAAAAAAAGCTTAAACAGCAGATTTCCCACCCTTCCTCTCCTGTCTGCTTTTAGCATATTCGACCCTGCACTAGTTCCAGAAAGGGGCCAGCCGGGATTTAGGGATTATGGCAGTGTATCAGTGAAACTCTTGGCTGAGCAGTTCTTTGATGAAGACAGCGACAAAAGGCAGCTGATGGATGAGTGGCAGGTATTCAAGTACGACTTGGCAAAATGGAAGAATGAGCTGCCTGAGGAAGTAAGAAAGCCCCCTGGTGGGAGCAAACCTACAGTCACTTCAACTGACTGGTGCCTCCAGAAGCTAATGTTCATGAAGGACCTGGTTCCATTTAATCTTCCACTGGTTGCAAAGGTGGCAGAGGCAGTGATTTCTCTTCCAGTCTCAAATGGATGGCCAGAAAGGGGTGCCAGTTCTTTAAAACTGATGAAGACAAGGCTTCGGAGTAGGATGAAGAATGACATGCTCAACGCCCTACTACACATTCTCATTAATGGTCCAAAAGTGGGAAGTAAGGAATTTGAAGAAGTGATTGATGCTTCTGTTAGAGCTTGGTTAGCTGCAAAACCACGGCGAAAGTGTCCTCCAAAGTTTGTCAGCACACCAGTGGTTGCCAGCGCCGGTGATATAAGTGAGAACTTTGTAACTGTGCAGGATGCTGGTGTACAGACGGAGGGTGACGCGGAGGGTGTCACGCCAAGTCACCCTTCAATTGCAGAGGAAGTTGATGCAACCTCCAAAGCACTTGAGCTACCTGCAGATGACGGTGATGATTCAGATTATGGCTCTGATTTCGATGACTTTTAGTTTAGTTGTTTCACCTAACACTGTTTATTTGTAAACAAAGTAAACAATATAAGCCAATGAGTTAGATTTAATATAATTATTCATGTTATGGATTTAGTGAATTCCCTGAGTCTGCGAACAGTTGCAGTAGTGTTTTAATGAGGTCAAAATGCTTGTCAATTTAGTAAATTGTGAACAGTTACAGTAGTGTTTTAATGAAAGAACAATGTTTGTCAATTTAGTAAATTCTCTGAGGCTGTGAACAGTTGCAATATTGTCTTTCATATAGTCACTTTGTGCTAGTGGGTAAAACCTCCTTAAATTATTCACAATTTGTGTTTGCAAAATGAGGATGTAGAATAATAAATTTCCACCTCAGAATGCTGGAAAATGCATTTCCGAGAGTCTTATTTTAAAAATTTTCCGGGGGAGCATGCCCCCGGACCCCCCTAGCGGCTCAGGCCTTCGGCCCTCGTGTCGGTGGGGGTGCCCGCTTACTCTAACACAAGAACCCTCCTACTTCAAAAGTTAATGAAACCCCTGCAGTTGGACCCGATAATTCGAACTCGGATAATTCGAAGTCCCCGCTAATTCGATGTAAAATTCATTTCCCTTGGTTTTGCCCCACTTTCCTCAGTCATTTTACCTCGGATAATTCGAAGTCCCCACTAATTCGAAGTAATTTCTGTTCCCTTATGTCAGATTTTACCCTGATAATTCAAAGTTAAGTTACCAGCTGAATGAAAAAGAACAGACGTTGTCAGAAATTAGAATATATATTTATGTAATAACAGTTTCGAACATTTCACAGCTTGTTAATCCCTTTATAATTGTGTAAAACAGTTCTCTGTGCTTTAATCCCTTTACTGTATGTGCGGTGCTTTATAAAAGTTATTATCATGTTGATGTGATGAAAATCCATCTGCCTAAAGAGTTGACGAAAAATCCAATTTTACAGCTTTGTGAACTCTCTTTCAAGAATACTGACGTATTTCTTCTCTCCTTCAAACAAAAGTTTGCATCCCTTCACCGTCGCCAAGATGAACAGGCATGCCTGTCACAATAACAGTGCATGAATTTCTATTATCCACTCTCAGAAAATAAAAGATTGTCTTAGCAAATCGTCCACTCTTTCCCTTCTTCAGATGTCCAACAATGGTTTCTTGATCTTGCATCCCACATACGGCATATTTGTCCACTGGGTTATCGGGCTCTCTTCTGGTTGAAAGTTTTTCATTCACTGTTGGTTTACAGATTTCCTGTTAGTCGTGATATCCCTTTATGTGGGTGTTATCTGAAGCGAAGCAACATTCCTTGGGCAAACCATGATTTAAGCAGAGCTTGATTTAGCAAATTCAAAGCCGGTATCTAGTAGTTGAGTGCATGCGTCTAATGACAAGGACGCGATATGAGTAAACAATACAGGCTAAATCACACTTTTAGCGGAAGTGGATCACTTCGTCGGTATCGTTTTTCAATTTAGGCTTTTTTACCGAGGTGCTAATTGGCATGCATTTCTGTGCTGGAGCTTGTGCGGTGATCAAACAGCTCCAGAAAATTGAACTCAGTTTCGGCTGTTCACTAATATCGCGGAAATAGGGTAAATAAAGTTATGCAGGGGTAAAAATTGCTTATTTATTTTTGACCCCTATATTTCGAACCCCTGATAATTCGAACTATTTTGCTTTTCCCTTGAGACTTAGAATTATCAGGGTCCAACTGTATGTATATAAATAGCCTATTGTAGTCACCATTGCAAGTAGTGATTGGGGGCACTTCAAAGGTTGAACAATACTGGGAGCACAGGCATTTATCTTTTCTCCAAGTATAGCTATGTTGCTGATGTTCAAACCTTGTTTTTGCAATATGCAAGTTTCTTAGACCCCTTACATCAATCCTCCATAGTCTTACTTGGCCTTGATAAGTGTAAGTGGAAATAATGAGTGAACAAAGCTAATTTTTCATTATGATTTATCAACAGAGTTGATGATTTAGATTGGCCTCTGCAAAGAGTTTTAAAAGCTGATGTTTTTTTGCATCAGAGTGAATAATGACGGGTTTTAATGCCCAACAGGTCACCTTTAGAAACAATTTACAGAGGTCAATTTACTTTATCAACTCAGTTGATGAAACCAAATTATCTAGTTATATTTCCCACTAATGCAACACCACAGTTTCTTTAGAAACCTACTCCCTTTATTAGTTTTTCATTGCCTTGGGCCAGTTTGGGCCTGATTTGATTTTAAAAATGTTGTAACTTATTATTATTATTATTATTATTATTATTATTATTATTATTGTTATTAAAGGCAACTGATACAGGATAAGTAAGCTTTTGCTCATACAATATTTAGATACCCAAACTAACTTGTAGAAACATTACTCTTATATACTAACAGCTCTCCCTCTTGTAGGGATAACAAATAAATCATACCCAGTACATACTGTAAAAACCTGTGGATAACCTGCATCTGCAGATAAGCTGCTCCTTGAATTTACCAGCTCAAAGTTTGGGAAAAAAGTTTTATGAAAGAAATCAAAAGAAATCCAAAGTCAAGTCTTGAGAAGTCTTCATCCACTGTTTATCAAACATAAACTCACTATTAACATTGCAACGGAAAATACTTGAAAGTCTTACCCACAATTTTTGGCACTTTAATATAATGAACACCATTTCTACCGACTTTGACATATGATTGATCTTTTTCTGGTATGTGTTGGCAGGAATTTCCTCATTCAACACAGTTTTTCCATAGACTTTTGCATTACAACAAGAATGTCAGCAGAACATTTGGAGCTTAGTTACCAGGCTTTAGATCAGATGCAAAAATGTTGACATTCATGACACTTTTTTCAAATGGTCACATAGATAAGCCACACCCCCAATTTCTAGCGACAATTTTTGAAAAAAAAGTGCAGCTTATCTGTGGGTTTTTATGGTATCTACTGTGAGTACCCCTGCTGGGTTTCCCTGTGAAAATATCTGACATAAAATGCGTTAACCCCTTCCTGTTTAAGGGATAACATTAACCAGCTTGATCTTGCAATGGGTTACTGTGGTGTCCATCTTGCATTGCACATATTTCGTCTTATCTTTCCATTGACGGGTGCATCTGCCATACCTAATGTGTAAGGCTTTCTCTTTTGAAATGCCCAGAACCTAGAGAAAAACTAGCACCAGTATGTCTGAACAATTCCATTTTCTCTTCAGGTTATAAGTGGTGGAAACTATGATGTAGATGTAGTTCTTTATGATGAAAATGGCAACAGTGTTTACAACGTCCAAAAGAAACAGTATGACAGCCATTCATTTACAGCTCAAAATGATGGAATTTACAAGTTCTGCTTCAGCAATGAATTTTCTACATTTAGTCACAAGGTGGTTTACTTTGATTTCCAAGCTGGAGATGAAATACCTTTAACCAAAGAAATGGGAGCACACCAAACAGCACTGACACAGATGGAAACAGCCTGTGTAACCATTCATGAAGACCTTAAGGTCAGTCTTTTCTGTTAGAATCTTCATAATTGTTTGCACACAAGGCTCTGTAACTTGTAGAACTTAGGGTTATAATTTACATGTGAGCCATGCATGAAGAGTACCCTTGCACAAATTAATGCAAAGGCTTACTGTAACATGAAGTGGTTAACAGTTGCATGCTAAACCACAAAGATACTTGTACAATATACCAATTTTTTTCATCAATTTTGTGGAAAAAGAGTAACAAACTTTTTTCTTTTCTTCATTAGCCTTCCTTATGTGTCTGGGATTTTAGCCAAAAAAATCTCGAACTTGGGAACCTGGATTTTTTTTTATCTATAACTTAAAGTGGGCTGCAAATAACTCACCCAAGTAATTGACATGAACCTCAACATATGTTGTAATAACAACCAAATTATATTTGGGAGGAATAGCTATAAACCTTGCCAGTCTCATTTCTGTTTTTTCTGGCTTTATTTCTTGTGATTGCTTTCTATCAATTGCCATTAACTTTTGATTGTCTTTTCATTTCTTTCTCCGAGAGAATACTCTTCCTCCTCTCCTCAAATTACTTTTCAAAAATTCCAATGAAACGATGTTACACCGTCTGTAAAGATTAACATTTTCTTAAAGAATTATTTATCTGAGTGGCTTTTATTTGATTTGCCTCATTCAGATTGCAACAGACTACCAAACCCACCATCGTTTACGAGAATCTCAAGGACGGGATATGGCTGAGTATTTGAATGAAAGGATACAGTGGTGGTCTGTTGGAGAAGCTTGTCTTATTCTTTCTGTTGGAATCTGTCAAGTAGTCATTTTACGGCGATTTTTTGCTGAGAAGAGGTCAACTATCTAATTCTTGGAACATTGCAGCTTGAAGAAATCATTCTTTTCCCAGTTTGTACAGTAAAGATATTAATTCCATCAAATTTATAAGAAATCATCCTGGAAAACTGTTGCCTCACAATCACAAGAACTGTGATTGGTGAAGATGAAGACACTTAAGTTGTTCTCATTCTATAAAGGGGAACAAGAGCTGAGCCTTTGCAAGGCAGCTTTGTGGTTCCTTAAACTGGTGTGCTACATATGTAGTGAATGGTAATAAGTGGAACCTCAGTAGTTTTGTTGCTCACAATGTTAATGGTTAGCTGGAAGCAAGGTTACTGAATTTCCACTAATTCTTTTATGTATACAAACTTACCAGGCTTCTTTAGGTGACCCTGAATAATTTTCCATGTAGTCTTACAGTGATTATGGCATTTTATTTGTACACATTCTTACTTGCTTGTCCAACTGATGGCTGCAAAAAGTCAGATAAAAATGCATGTTATTCCCCTTCCATTTGGATAATTGCAAAGGCTCCATGAGATGCATGGATAATATTACTTTGCAGAACTAGTGCAATTGTTAGGGTAAAAGATCCCCTTGCTTTATGCCTGTACTTAGCTTTTTACAATGTAGATGCATCCACGAAACCTTTGAAGTCTCTTTCAAGGATCAACTTGGATGATATTGAGTTTTACTTCTCAAACCATTTCTACTCGTGTCTTTCAGACTCTCTTGGCAGCTACCTCAAGTTTGCTCCAGTATCTTTCTTTTTTTGTCCTGCTGAATTATCAAAAATTATTCTTTTGGTCTTCCTTTAAAAAAAAAGAAAAACATTATTTCCATCCAAAAAGCCTGTAGTGCGATTATTTACATGCTTCCAACTGTCTTTACCTTTCTTAACAGTATTGTCATCAAAATATTTCATTTAGTCTGTAGAGCTTGCCAAACGAAGTGTGAGTCGAATTTGGAAGAGCTACATTTGTGCTATGTATTTCTGGTTACAGAAAAGTTCTCGTTATGTAAGGAAATATAGCGTTGCCAATAAGCTGCCCTTGTTAAAATGAAGGTAGTTAGAGTGTTAATGGCATTATTGGGCTTTATAATGTTTTGATGACACATATTTCTTGTTACATCTCTTTCTTAGCCAAAATGTTTTATCCTTGGAATGCTCATGGTATCTAAGATCTATTTTGTATTAAACTCAGTTACTAGAGATATTATTCAAGCGTGTTTTATTCTTTAGTTTCCAAACTTGTCAATAACGATACGCCCATCCTGTTCTTCTCCTTACCTAACACGACTGATGCTAGTCATGTAGGTCGTGAGAATGAAAAAACTGATCGGATCAATTCTTCCAATGGGAAAGAGGTTTTGAAGCAGACAACAGAAAGGTTATGTTACTTGAGGTCAATGTTCGAGTTGGAGGAAACTGTGTTCATTGTTATTTATTCGCCCTCCACAGAATGTTTGGTCAAAGGATACTTTATTACAGAAAAAAAAAAACTAGTCCTGGAACAAACTATTTACAAATAAATTTTTAAAATAGATCACTTTGTTGATGAATAGTTACAGACAAAGATAAATTGTGTAATGGTTCCGTATTTTTACCAGTAAATTACATAGTTATAGATGTTGAGCAGAGCCAGCCATTTGCCCAGTACTGCCGTCGGGATTACAAAGCGCAAAAGTGTGCTAAAGTGGCATGGTGTTGCGCGTCCTACTAGACTGAGAAACGGGTAGGAGTTAATATAGGGAGCATTATATTTCGAGAGTCTTAGATAACTTAATAAAGTTGATTTGGCCTTTTACCGCGAAATGACCACGGAGAGCTTCTCATTGGGTCAGAGGGCTTAATCAAACCAAAAACAAGACAGGAGTCGGTCAGGTTGGTAAAAGATTATGACAGGAGGGTTACATTCTTAAATTAGAGCCCTATGCGAGTCGAGTCGAGTCAAGCCATCCACAGTTGTGACGATAATTTTTTCGCTAAAAACTGGACTCATGCGGGGAACGCAATAACAACGGGGGAAACTAGCTCGGTAGAGACAACACGCAGAGAGAGACCATTAACCAGGGTGGAGAGGAGTTCCAACCTCTCTCCACTCTGCCATTAACACTAAAACGAATAAACATGCTCCAAACAAACACGAAATATCACTAACTTTTCCCACTACACAGTGCAGCCCCAGTCCTTCTCTGTTTTTTTTAAGGAACACCGTAAAAAATCGTACATAATCATTCTTCAAAGAGGACCAGGCTTTGACAATTTGGCGCTTTGACAAACTATTGATAGGGGCTTATTGAACAGACAGGTGGCTTATCGCATCGTAATCCAATCTCAGGCAATCTGGGTCGATCCGAAGAGATCCGAATTCTTCCGACCTAGACCGATCTTTATCCGATCAACGACGATCAATTCCGCACCGGACTCAAACATATATCATTAGACATGTATTTCCAAAACATATATTTTCTAGTACTGAAAAAATTTTTCTAAGTTCATATCACATAACATGCTCTTTAAGCAAGAATTTTCTTGCGTGTTAGTTTTTGCATAACAACAATATTTTTGAAGAACCACCGTGTCCGTTACTGGCTGAATAATTGATAATGCTATTAACTACAGAATAAATTACAGCCAGGGCAAACTTGACCCGACGCCATGGAGGATTTGAATGAGGTGCTTCGGGCCGGAGAAACGGTCGTCAACCGAAGAAGACAAAGCCGAAAGCGAAGGGAGAATATGGTACGCATTTGAACTCGTTCAATTCTTCGGACAATCCAAGAATAATTGTGGTAGTTGTAGTGTCATAATTTGTACACAACAGGCAACGTTTAGTTCAATAATTAGCACATAGTATGGCGTGTAATTTTACGGTAAATTACAGCTTGTACCCACAAGAGAAACTATTCAGGAGAAACACTGATCTAAATCTCATCTAGGAGTGTGGTCTGCTTTAATTCTGAAGCAGTGATGATAGCTTCACTGAGTTATAAGTTGTCACAGAGTGGCAGTTTTTTAATATGCAAGATGATCAAATTTGCGCTGAAAGTAATTAATTCACATGGGTATAAGAAAGTGAAACAGACAACGATGAAGTCTTATGATCAATTGAGAGGTTTTAGTGACCGTCGCTATTCTCGTGATGATCCATGGATTTTGCCGCACTCCCCAGGCATCACTCAGTCTCAAGTCCATAGTTTAATTTTGTCAGCACGACAATGTTTATCTTCTAAATATAACCTTTCTCTGAATATTGAGGTCATTTGAGAGTCATGAAGTAGTAGAACCAGAAGGTCCCAATTATAATTATGATACGTTTCGTAATAACACTAGTGGGGTCCTAGTGAGATCAGGACACAACGTGCGGGCGACTTGTTCGGAGATGGGTTACCAGTTATGACGATTATTGTAAAATACCTTTTGCGTGCTTTTCGTAGTAGAAAGCCTCCGGTTACTAGAGCGAGATAATTGTTATCCTAGGTGTCATTTATTAAGGAAAAAAAAACATACATTACAATGACAAAAAAAAACAGACTTAAGAAGGAAAGCATCGCTGAGTCAGTATAAAGCCAGGGACCCATGTTCTTCAACACGTTGGTCTTTCCCACCAGTAACAGTTAGTTTCCGTGCGTTTGGTTGACATTTTAGGAATCTAAATCAAATGCGCTGACCAAAACGTAACGCTGGAGTGAACACAGCAATGAGATCTTTCAACTTCCGGCTGCCGTCAACGTATCAAAAACGTATATTGCGTTGCGTTGGGTCCAAAGGCTAGTTAAATTGATTTTAGAGAAAATTTGCTATGTAGTTTATAGTCTCAAGCTGGATTGACATTTGACAAAATAATGTACTAACTACGAAAAAAAAAGGGGGGCAAATCACTTGCCGAGACGATGGTATATACCAAGAATCGATCGCACAAGAGAAGTTTTGATCAATTAATTAGGCGTTTAAAAAAGGATTATCATCTGTCGTCACAGGACGTTTTCTTATGCGACCAGTGTCGAATAAATTTCTAAAATTTCGGAAATTCCGTAAAACTTCA